TTTGAAAGAGAGAGAGAGCACAAGTGGGGAGGAGGGGCAGAGGGAGAGGGAGAGGGAGAAGCAGACTCCCCGCTAAGCAGGGAGCACAATAAGGGGCTCGATCCCAGGACCCTCGGATCATGACCTGAGCCAAAGGCAAACACTTAACTGACTGAGCCACCCAGGTACACCAACATGTTGAAAGATCTTCAAAAGAGCTTGTTTTCCAGAAGTAACTTAGCAGGACTTTTGTTCATATGAAATATGTCCTTCCTTTTATTTGCAGCTACACAGTTTTGAGCAAGTATCTTTGATTAGTTAGTAGTCACAGAATGTGTTGAACGACAGGAACTTGCTGCTAATAAGCACACTCATGAAAGAAACAGGTTTTCAAAACCCCAAATAGCCAAAGCAATCTTGAGAAAGAAGAATGAAGCTGAAGGTATCACAATGCCAAACTTCAAGATACACTACCAAGCTGTAGTAATCAAAACAGTATGGGACTGGCACAAAAGTAGACAATGGAACAGAATGCGGAGTCCAGGAATAAACCAATGCTCACATGGTCAGTTACTCTATGACAAAGGAGGCAAGAATATACAATGGGGAAATTCTCTTCCTTAACAAGTGGTGTTGGAAAACTGGACAGCAACATGCAAAAGAATGAAACTGGACCACTTTCTTACACCACACACAAAAATAAACTCAAAATGGATTAAAGACCTAAATGGAGACCTGAAACCACAAGACTCCTAGAAGAAAACATAGGCAATAATTTCTTTGACATCAGTTATAGGAACATTTTTCTAGATATGTCTCTTTGGACAAGGAAAACAAAAGCAAAAATAAACTATTGGGACTATACCCAAAATTAAAAGCTTTTGCACAGCAAAGACAACCCACTGAAGAGGAAGATATTTGCAAATGATATATCTGATAAGGGACTAACATCTAAAGTATATAAAGAACTTATACAACTCAACAGCAAGGAAAGAAAGAAAGAAAGAAAGAAAGAAGAAAGAAAGAAAGAAAGAAAGAAAGAAAGAAAGAAGAAATAAAGAAAGAAAGGAAGGAAGAAAGAAAGAAAGAAAAAGAAAGAATCTGATTAAAAATGGGCAGAGGACTTGAATAGACATTTTTCCAAAGGAAATATATGGATGGCCAACAGACACGTGAAAAGAGGCGTAACATCACTCATCATCGGGGAAATGCAAATCAAAACCACAATGAGATACCACCTCACACTTGTCGGAATGGCTAGAATCAAAACTACAAGAAACAGCAAGTGTTGGCAAGGATGTGGCAAAAAAGGAACCCTCGTGCACTGTTGGTGGGAAAGCAAACTGGGGCAGCCACTGCAGAAAACAGAATGGAGGTTCCTCAAAAAGTTAAAACTAGAAATATCATATCATTGAGTAATTCCACTACTGGGTATTTGTCCAAAGGAAATGAAAACAGTATATGAAAAAGATAAATGCACCCCTTTATTTATTGCAGGATTCACAGTAGCAAAGATATGGAAGCAAGCCAAGTGTCCACCACGGATGAAGGGCTAAAGAAGAGGGGTTATATAAATACAATGGAATACTACTCAGCCATAAAAAATGAGATCTTGCCATTTGCAAAAACATGGATGGACCCAGAGGGTATAAAGTTAAGTAAAATAAGTCAGACAGAGAAAAACAAATACCATATGATTTCACTCATATGTGGAATTTAAGAAACAAAGCAAAGGAACAAAAAAAAAAGAGATAAACAAAAAAAAATAGATTCTTAAACACAGGGAACAAAATGGTGGTTGTCAAAGGGAAAGTGGGTGGGGGGATGGGTGAAATAGGTGAAGGGGATTAAGAGGTACAAACTTGCAGTTACAAACTAAGTCACAGAGATGAAAAGTACAACATAGGAACTATAGTCAATAAGATTGTTGTAATATTGTTTGCTGACAGATGGTGACTCCATTTAGCATGGAGTAATGCACAGAATTGGTGAATCATTATGTTGTACACCTGAAACTAATATAACTGTATATCAATTACACTTCCATAAAAAATATTCTATATCAGATGATAATATTCCTCAAACATGAGAATAAAATAAATGTATTTTCAGTTAAATAAAAGCTGACAGAACTCATCGCCTGAAATGTAAGGGAAATGATATAAGATAGAATTCAGTAAAAACGGGCCGACCAAGAATGTTACAGAGTGTGTAGGTAACTAGAAACACAACTTCAAAATAATGCCAAATGCTCAATATCATACAGACCATTATCTCATAAAATTCAATTAATGAAGAAATTAATAACAACAAAAAAGAAACAAGATTTCAAAACCTTACTAACTGTTCCGCCTGTCCCTTTCCCCACCACGCCTTTGAGCCCAGAACCAAGTTTCGAAGGGATTTAGATTAAGGGTATATTCCCTGACCCATTTCTTTTAACATCAGGCCTCAAAAACTGACAGCGAATTAATGTATGGCTCTGCCCAGTTAGAGAGATAAAAATCACCCTTCACCTGAAATCCATTTGGAAGAACTAACTACTGCAGGACACTTAGATTTACCCTCCAGAGCCTGGCGACAAGAAATGGCAAACCATCTGGAAAATGAATCTTCATAGGCCTTGTCCGCAGCAGTCCGTGCTCATTGGATAAAGAGGTTTGCGCTGGGCCTGAGCTGGGGAATGGGGAGCTTTGGGAGCTTAACGGCCTATAGTGGACAGATCAGAGGTACAGCCAGGAGAACCCCGGGACTTGGCTTGCTCTTTACATTCAGCTTCAGCAAGGGGACAGGCTGCCAGAGTCCTAAAAAGAGCACTCCTCCAGGGCGTCCCAGCTTTGATGTCACTCTTCTAAAACGGTTTTTCAGGGAGGATTAATAAGCAGGCTTGTGAAGAGCCTTGGTATTCCCCTCCCATCTGCTAAACAGATAATGAGGATTTCTAGTCATTAGAGCAATTATACCAGATCGAAATTTCCTAGGCATGCAGCAGTATGTACAAAATGGCTCTGGAAAACACTAACTGCATAGTGGTCGTCAAAAGCCCCCTGATCCTTGAAAATGAACTTGAGGTTTCCTGCCCACCTACGCAACATGGACTCCCTTATCTGGAATTTGGTTTCCAGTAATCAACAGAAATCTTGGCATAAGGAAAGAACAGGTTCTCAGAGTGTTAAAAAAAAAAAAATCTTAATTTAGAACAAAATTCCTCAACTCTAGGTATAACCCATTAGCGATTAAGCAACAAGAGCAGCCTCATTCAGTTTCTCCAGCCAGCAGGTTCGGAATCACAAGTGGTAAAGGTCCTCTTTGTTTTCAGAGGTGGAAGCTATGCATCCTAGGCCACTTAGTTACACTGGGGCCATGCCAGGACTAGAACGTTCCCAGGTGTTCCGAGAACAAGCCCTGGGCTTGTTCCTTGCACAGTCTAGAAATCGGTGATAAAAAATAAATCATCCAGGGTCTCCCTAATGACTTCCTTTCATGTGCAGGCATAACAGGACCTACAAGTAAGTGGGAGATCCCCTGTGGACTCTATTTCAAATATAAGAAAATGAAGCCACGTGCTAGGAGTGGGGGGGAAACCTGCCTTCTGGGCCAGGCACATCAGGTTTTGGGTCCTGACACTGTGCTTCTTTCTAGGCAGGCGATCTTGAGCCAGTTATCAGAGCTCTCTGAGCCTCAGTTTCTTTATCTGAAAAAATAAATAATGCCTACCTCGCAGAGCTGTCATGAAAATAAAGTTAAAGGAGAAAACATTTATGAAACTGGTGCTTAATAAAAGTTAGTCCCCCTCCTACTTGCTGCCACCCGAATTCCTTTATCCGAGAACAAAGGGTATGATTATAGATTACATGGTATGAGCAATGCATTTGCTAAGATGTAATCAGTGATTCAACGTGTATTAAATACACAGGAGCTCTTACTCTGGCCAATTAAAGATTCTGAGGCCTTTATATGCCCAGGACAAAGGGCATCTCTAGTCTGATCAGAGAGCTGAGGAAAGAGAGAAGGGGTAGGACCAAAGTCAGGGCAATAGAGACCGGACATGTCCAAGAGAAATGTAACACAAGTCACACATGAATTCAAAGTGTTGTAGTAGCCACATTTTAAAAAGCAAAAAGAAATAGTGGACGTTAATCTTAATAATATATTTTATTTAACCCAATATATCCAATAAATGGTTATTTCAACCTGTACTGATATAAAAAAATTTTTTTTAAGATTTTTTATTTATTTGACACAGAGAGACACAGCGAGAGAGGGAACACAAGCAGGGGGAGTGGGAGAGGGAGAAGCAGGCTTCCCGCGGAGCAGGGAGCCCGATGTGGGGCTCGATCTGAGGGCCCTGGGATCATGACCTGAGCCAAAGGCAGATGCTTAACTGACTGAGCCACCCAGGTGCCCCTGATATAAAAATTATTGGGATATTTTTTGTTCTCTTTTCCTATCAAGTCCTCGAGATCAGTATGCATTTCACACCTGCAACACCTCTCAGCTCGGACTAGCCACATTGCAGGTAGTCACTGTATTGGACCAGGCAGGTGTTGACAAATCCCCGTGGGCCCACCATTGTGCTGGGATTTGGAGGACCAAAATGTCTAGACCAGGGCATGACTGCTACACTCAAGGTGCTCACTGTCTACTTTGGGATCTAGGACGGGTGGACACATACGTCTGTCTGTCCCAACAATACACATTTGCCTGTAGGCTCCCAAACGGCTCACCATAAAGCTCCAAGCCAGCAGCTCCAACCTTCTGCTATGAGCCTTTCGACGCACCCCAACCAAAAGGACAAAATTCCTCTCCCTTATCTGCGTACACAGTTGTCAACTTATGCATCCAATGAGGGGATTAAGGGTGTATCACGGCACCCTAGGGACCGCTGTAAGGAAAGGTGGGCACCTTGCTCTCATCCCTTTAAGCCACCGAGTGTCGACTCTACAGCAGGCTTGCCTGGATTCCAGACAAGCTGGAAAGAAACTGAAAGCGAACTCTTAAGGCTCCCCGGAGCCACTTACCGGACACCTGGAGGTGCAGCATCGGCAGCGGGAAGAGCCTTCCGTCTTGCAGAGGCAGCTGCCTTCACCGTGGCTGCTCTCCGCCCTACCCCATCCTCCTGCCCTGGCCCCTCCCTGGAAAGCCTCTTCATTTCCTCCACTGCCTGTCTGGGCCCGGAGGGAGACTCACACCCCCGGAATCAGAAGCCAACGGCTGATGCAGCTTGCAGAGCAATCTTCATGCTGTGCAGGTGTGGGCCCCAGCAAAACCACAAACTGAGATTTGCTTTAGATTCCCTAGCATTTTTTTGGAAACACTATCTCCCCTTCCACATCTCCACCCCTGCCCACACCCTAAGGTCCTTCTTTATTCCTACTGAGACCGGGCATCTGGCTGGCTCAGTCGGAAGACCGTGCGACTCCTGATTCTCAGGGTTGTGAGTTTGAGCCCCACGTTGGGTGTGGAGATTACTAAAAATAAATAAACTTAAAAAAAAAATCTATTCCTGCTGAGAAACTAATTCATACTAAGGAGTTGGTGACTCTATGAGCCATCCTTCCCAAGGATATTTGCATTTTTAAAAGCCCAAATAAATAGCTAAGGTTTATTGAGAGCTTGCTGGGGGCTAAGGCACTAGGCTGAGAGGAGAATGCCTCGCTCTAGGGGAAAAGTGGACAATGGTGGAATTCCAAGCAAGGTGGAACAGAGGTATCGTTTAAAAGCACACTCTGTAGACAACTCCTATGGAAACATACCCATGGGGAATGGTCACTGGAGGATTAAAAGGCCTGCGCTGTTTTCTTCTTTAACTTTTAGATTTTAAAGCCATCTTCATTATTTATGGATTGAGGGAGAAGGATTAAGTTGGTTTGTTTTCCTTCACTCCTTCACTTAATAACTATTTGAATGCCTACTCTGAGCCAGGCACTGGGCTGGGTGCTGGGGATACAGCAATGATCCAACTAGCAGAGCTTTGCTCTCAGGGAGCTCCCAGCTTAGTGGAGACACAAGCAATAAACACAACATGCAAAGTGGGCAAGGAGTGTGATGGAGAAAAACAGAGCGGGGTGGTGATTCTTCTGATCTAGGTGGCTGAGGGGTCTCTGGGAGGAGGCAATGTGGTCTCCTGCATCCTCACCGGGCTCCTTCCCTGCTTCTTCGGCTCATTCTCCGAATGAGAATGAGAAGCTCTGCGGGCTTCAGAGCTCATCCTGGGGCTTCTCCTCCTCCCCATCCCTACACTCCCCCTGGGCGTCCTCGGCCCATTTCATGGCTTTAACCACTTTGTATTTGCTGATGTCTCCCAAATTTATATCTTCAGCCTCAACAAGTCTTATGACAGCACAAGACCCACATACTCAAGCATCATTCTGATATCATCACCCCTGGGAAGTCTACCAGCACCTCAAAAGAATTTGTCCAAAACCTTGATTCTCCACCTCTCCCAACCTGTGTTCGCTCCCCTGATTTGTACTCAGTAAAGAACACCATTATCCCTCCCCACCAAGAGCTCATACCCAGAGTTTAGGAGTCATTAACTCATTCTTTTTTGCATTTAAAATGTTTTTGAATAGGTAATTGTGGTAGGCAGAGTAGTGGCTCCCAAAGATGTCCACGTTCTAATCCCTGGAATCTGTGACTATGTGAATTACATGGCTAACCTGGATGAAATCAAGGACCCCAATCATGGGGAGATTGTCCTGGATTACCTGGGGTGATGGGGCTGAATCTAATCACACGAGTGCTTAAAAGATAACTTTCCTCCACCGTGGTCAAAGGGGAAGGAGTCTATGGAAGAGTGGTCGGAGACATGCAATCTTGCTGGCTTTGAAGATGGAGGAAGGGGCCACAACCTAACGAATATAGGCAGCCTCTAGAAGCCGGAAAAAGCAAGGAAATGGATCTTCCTCTAGAGCCTCCAGAGAGGAACACAGCTCTGCTAACACCTTTATTTTAACACAGTGAGACCCAGGTCAGTCCTCCCACCAACAGAGCTATCAGAGAACAAATTTGCTCTGTTTTAAACCCCTGTGTTTGTGGTCATTTTCTATAGCAGCAATAGAAAACTAATAAAGGAATATAGTCACGTGAAAACTAAAGAAGTAATATAGTCAATGACTCGAAATTCAAAAAGTACAAAATGGTATACAACAAGCCTCCTCGCCCTGCCCCACCCACCTAGTTCCGTCCCCAGAAAGTACCCAATGCTACCAGTTTCTTGGTATATCTTACCAGAGATATTTTATGCATATGGAAGCAAATGGAACTATAAACATTCTCCCCCTTCTGTTTTATACAAATGGTATACCATACTGCACATACTGTTACATGCTTTTTAACCCAACTATATAGACTAGAGGTTCTTCTTTGGAGCTTTTTCCTTATTTTGTGATGGTTCCACAACGTTCCATCGTATAGCTATACCATAACCATTTAGCTAGTCTTCCTGACCCCCTATTTCCAAGCTTTCCCATCGCAAGCAACGTTTGATAAATAAAATAACCTGGACCCAACAGCTGTTCGCGCAAGTTTAAGTGTGTCCGTGGGACAAATTCCCGGAGTCGTTCTTGATCCCTCCTTTCCTTTGTCCCCATTCAATTCAGGATCAGGGCCCGTGGGTTCTATCTCCAGAACAAATCTAAGCTCACCACTGCTTTCCCGGTGTTTCATCCCCACTCCATTCCAAGCCACTGTCACCTCCTGCCACCACCCCCCAGCGAACATGCATGTGAGAGTTTGGTGTGGGAGGCGCTCCACTTCCTGTCCTTGCTTCCCACCCCTTGGGCAGAAAAACTTGGAGCCTTGGATTTCTTGTCTCTGAAAAAATTCAGTGAGACTCTGTGTCCCAATTTTTGTGTGAGTAAATGAGTGTTGTTTGCCAAGACTTTGGAAAATGGGGCTCCGTTTGGAGACTCTCCAATCAGAGAAGCTTGTTAAACCACAAAGGAAGATCAGACAGGTATCCCAGTGTCCTGGAATAGACCTAATCTTAACTGCATCTTTAGTACGTGTTTTCCCTCTGGTGGGTTTCCAAGGCATTTAATGGACTAGGAACAAAACAAGACTTTTTAGAAACGGAGACAGACACACTTTACAAAGGTCCCGAGATTAAAGTTCTGCCTTTTTTCCTATTCAGCCACAGCCTAAATCCTACCCCAGAGCTGCTCACAGAAGTTCCAGAATGGAACCAGTTCTGAGGCCAGCAGAGCTGGTACTAGAAGGAAAAGATTCAAGAGCACTGTCGGCTGAGTCCCCTGGTGCTATGTCTGCAAACGAAAACTCACAGAGATAATGAAGGAAAGGCATCGGATTTCTGTCACAATTGCGAAGTATACTCTCTCTTCCCCTTATAATAAAATTTTAACCTGGTATTTATTGCACACTCACTGTACATCACCCATTTTCACGGATGCTTTTATTAATCTTCCTAACAAACTCATTGTACAAATAAAGAAACTAAGGGTCGGAGAGCACTTTCATTTCCTAGCCTTTTTTTTTTTTTTTCATTTCCCAGCCTTTAAATGGTCGAGCCCCTGATCACACAAGAAGAACTGAGGACAGGCAGAAGTCTTGATCGCTTTCCTGAACTGTTAAAAGACACAAAAGGGCGGATGGTCTCCACAACGTGTCTCGGCGAGCTAATACGGACAGTAACATACATACAGACTACAGATGGCGGTGGGAGTTGTAAACGATCATGGACTCATAGAGAGATTCCTTGGGTTCAAACCCGGTTCCATTGTCACCAGGTGTGTGAGCTCGGACAAATTCCTTTACCTCCCTGGGACTACTTACCTCTTGGGGTCTTTGGGAGAATTGCATGAGTAAGGATATTTAAAGCACTTTGAACGGCGGATGGCATAGAACGGGCATTAGTCCATGTCCGGCACCTGCCCTGGTCCGTATGGTGTCGCCAGGGCCCCAGTATTAAGTGCTAACTGGGTGTCAAGCGCTGGGCTGAGCGGCACATAGAAAGCCCCCCTCCTGAGGATGGTCTCATGGAATCCTCACATCATCTTGCAAGGAAATCCTTCTTCCTTTTCTACAGCAGAGCAATCTAATGATCCCAAACAACCCCGATATCACACCTCCACCTAAGTGGCAGGGCTGGATGCCAAATCCTGCCTCGTCTGGCTTTCAAAGCCTGGGCTCAGTAACAAGTAGAGAAACGATGCTGTTGGCATGCTGTTCTTCCAGATCCCAGGACAGGAGAAGTGCACACGCACACACGTGCAGTCTTCAAGTGAGAGACTGCCCCAGTGCCTGGGTCCTCTGCAGGGTGAACTGCAATCATTTCTGGTCTGAAAGGCACTTTCCCAGAATAGGGTTGACAGTGGTTTTGGAAATGACTCACACTAACTGAATTCTTGACATGGCGAGATGCTGGAGACATCGGATCCTTCTTTTTTTCCAGTTGCATGAAAACAAGAGGCTTTGCCAAACCAAAGCAGATCAAGCCACTGGGAAAAGCAAGCCTTTGTGTCAGGAGCTCTCTTTCAGCAACAAGGAAAAAATAACCTTAAACTTTTAGTTTTCAGAAGTCAGCGTCTGGGTCAGGGGTAACTAGCAGAGGGGGGTATGGGGGGATTTTTGCACCTGTCAGCAGTACAGCAATGATCCTTGCGGAGAGACTCCTTGAAGGCAAAATAGAAAATATTTGCCAAAAAGAAGCAATGATAAGATTGTTCATCACACAGCTCCTCACCACCACCCGCCACCCTGCACACACCCTTCTCTCTTCTTACAATTAAAAGGCCTCAAATTTTCCATCACGCAGAAAATTATTTTCTCTCCCCCTTTTCCCCTCTCCTCCTCCCTCCCATCCTTTCTCATGGTCTTTCTCTTCCAGGAAGAAATTCTCGAACGTCAGACCCTCGAGATCACCCAATACAGATCATCAACTTTAAAGTCAGGCAACGCTGGCTTTGAACGCTGATTACAGCACCTTATGCAAGTTGCTTAAACTCTCTGCGCCTCAGTTATCTCATCTGTAAAATGGGCTTTAAAATGATACCTACCAGATAAGTATGATAAAGCTGATGTCCACAGAGCACTGAGAAACCATCCTCTTACTGTTAATTTATCTTCTCAAGCTGAAGCTCCAGAAACGAGAAGTTGATTGGATGGTGTCCCACCAAAAGCCTTCAAATGTTCTGGAAACAGGCAAAAGCTCTGCATCTGACCAGCCTCCAGTCCACATCCCTGAGGATCTCTCTTTCTTTCCAAAGAGCCTCTCTCAGTGCTGAAGGACAGGATCCTTGCCCATACTACGGCCTGTTTTTGCCCACATGGCACCATTTCCCCAAATGCTCTTCCCTCTCTTTTCTTAAAGGACACACACACACACACCCCCCAAACAGGCATATATCCAAGGGCTTTTTTTTTTTTTTAAGTAGGCTCCATGCCCAGCATGTCCCGTCGCAGGGCTTGAACTCCTGACCCTGAGATCAAGACCTGAGCTGAGATTAAGAGTCAGACGCTTAACCAACTGAGTCACCCAGGCGCCCCCAAGGGCGTTTGTTCCCAAATCATCCGCAGTGGTAATGACGATCATTCTGTAGCAGAAAGATCCCCGGACTGGGAGTGAGGAGGTCGGGGTCCTAACCCTACTCTGCCACCAAAGGAACCACATGTTCCTGGGGCTGTCACTCTGCCACTCTGTGCCTGAGTGTCTTCATCTGCTATGTCAGCAGGCTTGCCCTAATGGCAAGAAGAAGTCTCCCGGTGCATGGGTTTTATAGGGAAGATCTTCAGTCAAATGACACATTACAGTTTTTCAAGGACTTCCACATACCATATTTTGTGTTTTTAATCCTCCTTAAAACTCAACAATGTATGTAGGGTACTTGGCAGATAACAAATCTAAGGTACCTAGTGGTCGGGTAATTATGGGCAAACCATGACAGAGCAAAATGCCAAAACGGATTATCTCAACCTCTAGCTCTTCTGGCTCACCCTGCCCTCCTGGGGGTAGACGTCCGTCCCCAGTGAAAGGTCAAAGAGAACTGACAGGTGGGTAAATGTTGAAGAGGCTTTGTGCCCTTGGGGTCAGGGCTTCAAGGGTCCAGGCTGTTCCCTAAGTCCCTTTGATGGCCTTTTAAACATTTTTGGAGCCCAAGGCAGTGTTCCACTTAGCTCCAAACTCCAAGTTTGTCTGTTGCTTGGGCTTCTAAGATGGAAAGCAGAGCCCACGGCAGCAGCTAAAACACTGCCAGATCGCTGGCTGGTCAGAGCAAAACTGACCTGAACCCTGGTTCTCTGCCTTCTCTCCAGAGCCTCGACTGCCCCAGTTCCGGGTCATGGTCAGGGGAAGGGGCTCCTCCCCACCACCCTCCATCCTCACTCAAGGCGATAAAGCCCACCCTCTGTTTAAGAAGTGGGATGGCCATAGAGATGCGTTCATAGCAATAGCTAATCATGCTGGGATAACCAAGCACTGAGCTCCACCGCCCCCTACTCACCAGAACAGACTGAGGGTCCTGCTGTCTGTGGACACTGTTATGCGCTGAATTGTATCCCCCCAAATTCTTAGGTTGAGGTCTTAATCTCCAGAACCTCAGAATGTGACTGTATGTAGAGATCGAGCCTCTAAAGAGGTTAATTATGTTATAATGGGGTCTTTTCGGTGGGCTGCAATCCAATATGACTTATAAGGAGAGGAAATCAAGACGCAGACACACACAGAGGGAAGAGGGAGGGTGGCCATCTCTATAAGTCAAGGAAAGAGGCCTCAGGGAAAACCAACCCTGTCCATACCTTCATCTTGGACTTCTAGCCTCCAGAATCCCGAGAAAATACATTTCTGTTAAGCCACCCAATCTGTGGCAAGTTGTTATGGCAGCCTTGGCAAACCCATACGGGCACCTGCTCCAGAATCACGGCCACCCCCCGCCACGGGCAGGACCTCCCGCTATCCCCCCTGCCCAGGGCTGCTTCTGTATTTTCCAAACCTCCCTCCACCCCAGATTCATCAAGTCCTTGGGATGCAAAAAACTAGCTCCCCAAGCCCAGTCTTCCATTTTAGGGGCTTTGAGGAGTGCTAGTCTCTGCCTCAAAGTGGATGGACGGAGGGTCAACTGCCCTTGAGGCTCCCAAGGGAAAGAGGGGAGAATAGGAAATACAGAGAAAACAACCTGATTGGTATTTTGAGTGAGAATCTTGTCCCACAGGTGACGACTGGGCTTCCACCCACGTCTGGCTGGGAGTCCTCAGCCCGACCACTCGTGTTGTGGTAACACGTGGGTGGAGGGGGCCCGGGGCCCAGGGGCACAGTGCTCTCTCAAGGAATGACCACAGGGTTTCTAGGGGTCAGGGGAGGACACCAAAATTTCTGGGAGAAGTTGAACCTGCACCGCTGTCTTGCTCTTAGAGGGTGCACAGACCCCCAAGTCCCACCTCAGATCCACAAAGCCCCCACCCCTGCCCCTGCTGGAAGGAAAGGGGGGCTGAGGGGAGGAAGGGAAACGCCCTGTTATACATGCTGTGTTTGTTCTGGGTCTGGTTATTGACGCAAGAGGCCTTATCATTGGGTCCTCAGACTGGGCTGGGCAGGGCAGATCTGAGAGTTAGGGAGATTTGTCCCCACCGGCCTGTGGGAGAGCAGAAAGGAGAGGGGGCAAAGAAGGCCACGGCAGAGCGAGGAAGAAGCTGCTGGTTGGGCCCACGATGAAAACACTCATTCTTTTGCTGCTGGTGCTCCTGGACTTGGGGCTGGCTCAACATCGGCTCCACAGGTAAGGCCACATCCCTAGCACTGCGTGTGGCAGGGGCAGCTGCCTGCCCTCAAGCTTAGCGCTGCCCTGGGAGAGGAAAGCTGATGGGGAAATGAAGAGGAGAAGAAACTGAGGGCTGGGAAAAGTGGCCATCTGGTGTTGGTCTTGACCCCCAGCCCACGACAAGCCATCCCTCTGCCCCACCTCTGATGGAACTGCCTGCCCAAGTCCCAGGGAGCTTCTCACATTATTAAAGAGCAGGAACCTGCAGCTTGGGCAAGTACTCGGAGCTCAAAGGACCGAGTACTTGCCCAAGGGACTGACCACGGCTGCCTCCAAGAGTCTCTGTCCCTTTAAATCAGCCCCTTATGAGGTTCATGCACAACTGCAGATCATTTTCCTGGAGGACCTCAAAGAGCTCATCTCTGAGAGGGAGGGCCACTTCAAGTCAAAGATTCTGAGACTCTCCAGGAGCAGAGACAAGACTGACAGGCGGGGGGCAGAGAGGGCACTAATTCTTGCCAAACTGTGGCCAATTCTGGCAACTCTGCTGCCTTGCAGATCTTCTCCTGTGTAATCTCCCAGGTTACCGCTGGAAAAATGGGCTGGGAGAGGGGAGAACTGCATCTCTGTCTCACACGGGGCTTTGTCCTCAGGGTGCCCCTCAGGAGGCATCAGTCCCTCCGGAAGAAGCTGCGGGCACGGGGCCAGCTCTCTGAGTTCTGGAAATCCCAGAATTTGGATATGATCCAGTTCACTGAGTCCTGCACGATGAACCAGGATGCCAACGAGCCCCTCATCAACTACTTGGATGTGAGGCATTCTGGGGCAGGGGCTAGGCAAGGGGTGAGGGGAGGATGGCTTGGCCTCTGGGCATGGCCAGTGTCAGGTCAGCAACAGTGAAGTGAAGGCCAGTGTGGATTTCTCCTCTAGGATAGCCCATAGGGACTGATCCCCTGGGTCCCCATGGATTTGACGGAGCAAGCCCCAGTGTGCCCAAATGTGTAGAGCTCTCTGCAAAAGAAATGGCATCCCAAACAGAAGGGCCCTGCTGTGTGTCCTTGGCCAAATGATTTAACCTTCACCAGCTTCCCTTCCCTGATTGTAGAACAAAAGGATTACTGCCTCTTCTGCCTTGCTCACAAAGGAATTATGAGGAATAACGCAAATGAGAGCTAAAGAAGTAGCAGAGGGTGGGAGATTTGATTTGATTTCCTCCCTTGTAGTCTTTGTCTGCTCATTCTACCTTCTGTTGCCACTCCCCCAGGCTCTGTAAGCTCCAGTCTGTGGCTATCCCGGGCTCTGGTCCCAGAGAGCTCTCGCTAGGCTCCCTGGTGAGCACCTTCCCCTTTCCTACCACCTTCACTCGGCTCCCTTCCCTCCCTCCCCCATAGATGGAATACTTCGGCACCATCTCCATCGGCTCTCCACCGCAGAACTTCACCGTCATCTTTGACACTGGCTCTTCCAACCTCTGGGTCCCCTCTGTGTACTGCACCAGCCCAGCCTGCAGTAAGTAGAGCCAGGATCCCCAGCAGGGAATGGCAGCTCCAGAAACTGGCCATGCATGCCACACCAGCTTCCCCTCTCCACCTCTGAGTCTGCCCTGGGACTACCTACGGTAGAAACAGGGCTGGGCCAGGGAGAGAGCTAAAATTTGATTGCTATCCAAGCTAGCAACTTTCGTACTGACCAGAATTAATAGGAGAAAACTCAGCCACTGAAAATACAAACTCAATACAAATCTTTGAATACTCCATGACTCACTCCCTTTGGAACACCCAAAAGAATGTGAGGGGGAACGTTCCATTCAAATGGCTGTTTCTGGGCAGGTAGGTGGGTTGGGTTCTAGTGCTGACTATTCACCCGCTTCAAGAGGGCTTGGTGGCCTATCCCAGGATATCAGAGGTGGGGCTGGTGGGGCACGATACAGGGGTGGGTCCGTTTGGCCAGAGGTAACTCAGGCGTCTTTGTTAGCATTAGAAAGGAAGAGCTAAAGAAAGATGTCTGAGTCTATGCTGGATAAGTTCTAGAGACACGATGTCTCAGAAAACCCCTAGATTAGGTGTCTACAGGTCGGGCAAGGAATTGAGAGTCATTGCCTGGAGTGGCATTTGTTTAATCCCTGGGATTCTTTTGAATGCCAGGCTCTGACCCCCACTAGTTGACAGAGACTTCTGCTGGCTCCTGACACATGACGCTTATCTCCGTGTGCCTCATGAGGTCACTGTGGGCGCCACGTTTGCCCAGGGATGACGAGTTGGTCACCAGTTAGGCCACCACATGTGGCTAAAGAAGAATGTAGTACCTCACTAAGGTGGGCCATGGCCAACCTTTCTGGAGGCCCCCACTCAATCTTGGGAGTTGAGGGAAGAGATCCTGCATCTGTGGGGTATCAGGGCAGGAAGGAAGGCAGCGAGCTGGTGGCCCAGGCAACAGCGGCATCCTTGCTTTTCCAGAGACACATGCCAGGTTCAATCCTTCCCAGTCCAACACGTACAGTGTGCTGGGGAGTCATTTCTCCATTCAGTATGGGACTGGGAGCTTGTCTGGAATCATCGGAGCTGACCAAGTCTATGTGAGTACAATTCCTTCATCTCTTCTCTTTTGGCCAGAAACTTGGGATACAGAATATTGTTCAGAGCCTTTAGGGGAATACTTTCAGATCTGCCTCAGGAAGAGGTGGAAACAAGGAGCTGACTTCCAGGGAAAGGGGGAAGCCTGGCCAGGCAGGAGTAGCACTCCCTGCTTGAACTAATGGCCGTGGGCCAGTCTGCTCAGGGTGCTGGGTTCTAGAATGGCAGCACGGAGGAATTCCACAGAGAAACAGTGCACAGAGCAGAAAGCCTGAGGGGGCAGCTTTTCAAGAGAGAGAAAAAAAAAAAAAAAAAGGAGTCAAAGGTGCTCTCAGTGCGATAAGGCAAGAAAAAAGAAACTAAGGGCATTAAGATTGTAAAGGAAGAAACTATGTTGTATTATTCACATATGACAAGATTCTCTATGTAAAAAATCCAAAAATATCTACAGACCATTGGAATTAATAATTATTTAGCAAAGTTGCTGATTATTAGATAAACAAAATTGTATTTCTGAATATCAGGAAAAACAAATGGAAAATAGATTTTTTAATGACATTACTTATAATAACACCAGAAACATCAAATACCTACAAATAAATTTAACAAAAAATGTGCAATATCTCCACTCCAAAACCTGGAAAACATATTGAGTGAAATTAAGGAAGATCTACATAAACAGAAATGACTCAGTATTTCATGACTCAGTATTATGGACAAGTTGAAGTTTTTTCAAATCGATCTATAGATTTTAATGTCACCTCAATCAAAACAACAGAAATTGATGAGCTAATTCTAAAATGTATATGGATATGTAATACACCAAGACAATCTAGATAAAGAAAAACACTACGAATATCAAGACCTATTATAAAGCTATAGTAATTGAGACAGTGTGGTATTGGCACAAGATAAGCAAATAGACAAATGGAACAAAATGGAAAACTCAGAAACTACTCTGAATTCTATTGGCCATGAAACTGGCAGTGGAGGAAATGAGAGTGTGTTTATTAAATATGGTGCTACGTCATTTGGATATCCATATAGTTAAAAAAAAAAATCTGGACTCCGACCTCACACATTATCAAACTTCCAATACACTGTAGATGTTTTACCTCTAGGCATGTGTCCAACAGAAGTATGAGTACAGGGGCGCCTGGGTGGCTCAGCTGGTTAAGCAACCGCCTTCCGCTCAGGTCATGATCTCAGGGTCCCGGGATCGAGCCCCGCATCGGACTCCCTGCTCAGCAGGAAGCCTGCCTCTCCCTTTCCCACTCCCCCTGCTTGGTTCCCCCTCTCGCTGTCTCTCTCTCTCACACATAAATAAATAAAAGATTTTATTTATTTATGTGAGAGAGAGAGCGTGCGCGCACATGAGGGGGGAGGGGCAGAGGGAGAAGCAGACTCCCTGCTGAGCAGGGAGCCCAGCGTGGGACTCGATCCTGGGACTCCAGGATCATGACCCGAGCTGAAGGCAGTCGCTTAACCAACTGAGCCACCCAGGCGCCCCAATAAATAAAATCTTAAAAAAAAAAAGTACAACTGAATTTTCAAAAAAAAAAAAAAAGAAGAATTATGAGTGCATGTTCATCAAAAGCCATGTCCAAGCAGCACTGTTAACGATAGTCACTACAGGAAACAACCCAAATACCCATCGATGGTAGAATGGATAATGACGGTTATTCATACCACGGGATACTGATGACATTGAACGAAATTTCAACATAGTACACTACATAATGTTGAGTGACAGAAGCCAGATAGAAAAGAATTAATCCTGTATGATTCCGTTTATGTAAAATTCAAGAAAAGGCAAAAGCAGTATATGTTGGAAGCCAGCAGATGGTTGTTCTTGAGGAAAGGCACAACGATTAGCAGGGTGCGTGAAGTGGCTTCCGGTTTGGGAGCTTGCGGACCACGCTGAGTTTGTGAAAATGCACCAAACTGTACACTTAGGATTTCTGTATTCAACTTCAATTTTTTTAAAAGTCTACATAAAAACATTAAGGGTGTGGGAATGTGGTGAAATCACTGTGCTCATTTAATCAAGTTGGGTGGGGGAAGAATTCGCTTCAGACCAGAGGGAGAATCCGGGAATCTGAGACTGTACCAAAGCTCTCCTGAGCAGTTTTCTTTCGGGCTTTCTCCCCTCAGGTGGAAGGACTGGTTGTGGCCAGCCAGCAATTTGGAGAGAGTGTCACGGAGCCAGGCCAGACCTTTGTGAACGCAGAGTTTGATGGAATTCTGGGCCTGGGATACCCCTCCTTGGCTGTGGGAGGGGTGACCCCGGTGTTTGACAACATGATGGCGCAGAACCTGGTGGATATACCCATGTTTTCTGTGTACATGAGCAGGTAGGCCTGGCAAGCCCACCAAGGTGAAAGTCATTTACGACCACAGGGAGACAACATGGGTGCAGCTGAAAGAGCACTAGACTTAGCAGTCAAACACCTGGCTTGGATCTCTTGCATGTGAGACCTTGGGCTTACCTTCTCTGGATATTGAGGAAATGGGGTTTGCCTCACTTTATAAACTGTACCGCACTGAACCAAGAGGAGGAATCTCTGGGGTTGGATATTCGTTTGTGCAGTGAATAAATGTTTATCAAGCTCCTATTGTGTGCCGACCACAGTGCTGGGCACGGAGAGCAATAGTGAGACAAGGAAGACAGTCCCTGCCCTCAGGAAGCTTGATTCCTGTGGGAGGAGGCAGGAAAAAATTCCAAAGGAAGCTGACAATAAAATAATGGGATGTTAAAGGCATAATAAGATGCAGAATTTACATAAAATAGAATATTATTCAGCCTGAAAAAGGAAGGCGATTCTAACACAGGCTACCAGAGGATGAACCGTGAGGACCTTATTTCAAGTGACCCAAGCCAGTCACAAAAAGACAAATCGCGCATGAGTTCCCTTACACGAAGGCGCCTGGAGCAGTCAGATTCACAGGGACAGAAGGTAGAATGGTGGTTGCCAGGTGTGGGGGGAGGGGAAGGAAGCTGTTGTTTCATGAGTATAGAGTTGTGGTTTCACAGGATGAAAAGGTGCTAGAGACTGGCTGCACCACAGCATGAATAGCCTTCACACTACTGAACCGTACATTTAAAAATGGCCAATTTACGCAATTTTTTAAAAAATTGCCTCCTGCAGTTGGAAAAGGTCATGTGGCTCACCGGCCTCTGGCCACTCTTGCCTGGGATCCTGAAAGGGTCATCTCACCTTCATCCCTACATAGGACGGAGATTTCTGACCTTTCTAACTCCTCCCCGGCATATCTGGTCTCAGCTTGCCCTGTTTTCACGCAAGCCCATTTCCCTTGTTTTCCACTTCCACGTGGAGAGCCTTGAATTTCCTTTATTAAACTGCATGGCTGTAGTTGGGACCAACCCCCGGGGCAGAACCGTGAGCAAGAGGGCAGGTTGCCCAGACCCCTCTGCTGCCCCCCTGCTCCCTTGCAGCCTGGAAAGACAGGGAGGAGGGTGGGAAAGAGCAAAGGCTTTGCCGTCTGGCTGACACGGACTGACGCCCCCAGTCTGTTTCCTCAAATGGGCACAAGGTTGATGTAAGAAACAAATAGGATTAAACAGGTAAAATTCTTCGCCCAGGGCCCTGCCAAAAGGCCGTCAACTAACGGCGGTTCTCCCCCCCACCTCCCTAAGTCTGCTTTCCCAAGATGCCCCCAGTACCCGGTTCCTTCCCCCTTTACCACCATGCCTCGCAGGGCCCTGAGTTTTGTATTTTTCTGATCCTTTTCCTCCTAAAAATGAATCAGTTTCATGTCCTATTTCCCCAGAATCCTGTTAGGTGCCAGATCACACTCTGAAAAATCAACACCAGTGAAAATTAATAAATTTTCAAGTTCTCATAAGTCGTGTTGCATTCCCATTAGCTTCCTCACCTTAACACAACGGAGTGAATCATATGGAAACTCCAGGCACCACCAAAACCATGGTGGGAAAGATACTTGGTGGAAAAGGCTTTTTGGGGATGCATAAGTCACATGGTGTGTGCATACCCCAACGGTCCTAGCCTTGGTTCTTCATGAGTTCTGCATGACCAGAGTAGTTGTCCCCATCGACCTCCTCCCTAGCCCTTTTATCCAAGAAGCAAGAAGACATTCACAAATCATCAAGCAGAGCTATTTCTATCTTCTGTCCTTCTGCCCCCAAAAGCCCAGGTCAATGAACTTGCAGTAGCTGGGAGCCCTGGTCTCAAAGCCCAGGCTGATATTTCTGCCTATCTGGGTACTTGGTGTACATGACCAGCTTGTTCCTAGGGTATCCCAGTGGCCCTTCCCTGACAATCTGTCTTTTTTTCTTTCCCTGCAGTGACCCAGAGGGTGGTGCAGGGAGCGAACTCATTTTCGGAGGCTATGACCACTCCCATTTCTCGGGGAATCTGAACTGGGTCCCTATCACCAAGCAAGGCTACTGGCAGATTGCCCTGGATGCGTGAGTATTCTCCACAAAGTAGTTATGGTACAGGCAAGAATTCAAGACAGGCACAAGGCCAGTTGAATTGAAAAAAAAAAATGTGATTGAATTGACCTGAATCAGTGTGCTGGTCCCTGGGGGAGGAGCCTGAGGGCTCGCCGTGGGAGGCTGGAAGTGTGGAGGTGCTGAGCAAAGGTGGAGGAAGGGGCCGCGGTTGCCAGGGCAACAGGCACGAGGTACCACGTCTCAGCTTCCCTCCTGGTACACGTGCTGTGCCCTCAAGTCAACAGACAATAAATAAAAATCCTCTGCCAATTACTTGGGGCTCATTTAATGTCAATTCACACATAGGACCAGGGGTGGGTGACATAGGGGTACAGGAGTGAACTGGACTCAGATTTCGCCTCCACGAAGCATGTCCAGAAGATGAGACACACACACACCACTATCATTGTAAGGTGGAGGTGATCAGTGTTCCACAAGCCGTGCCACCGGAGTGGCCTGGCAGACAGGGCAAGACAGCTTCTATCTGAAGAACTCCTCAAGCAAGGGTTTCATGAAGTAGGTGACATGGACTGGGCCTTGACATACATACATGCAGACGTGCGTGTGTGTGTTTGGGCATGGAGCAGTCAGGGACATGGGACCAGATGCCTGTCACATACTGAGCACTGTGTCAGATAATGCAGGAATTTAAAGAAATGCAACTCAGGTTTCAATTCCGCCAAGAATAAGCTTCTGCAAGGTGAGGGCATGTGCTAGTCACTGGGGATGTAACAGCGAAAATCCTCAGTGCTCAGTCTACTGAGGGTTTTTCAAGCCAGAGGGACTTACCCATTTATGGATCATGATCCCATTTTAGGGGATCATGACGTGCATTTTTAACGAAATGGAATAAAATAGAAAATATCAGAGTGCACTTCACATACTAAGGTTGAGCCCTGTTTCGTGACATTTTTATTTCATGTGCGTGTGTGTGTGTATGTGTGTGTGTACTGGGTCCAAAAGTAAACGTGTTTTCTGGTATGGATCTCAGTCACAGAAAAACAGAAATACGGATGTGTGAGACAGTCAAACTTGAAATCATTTGTATTTGAAAGCCCAGCGGGGGGTGAGAGCAGCTGGGGAGGCTGGGAAACTTCAGGGCTGAGGGGAAGGGGGACAGCTGGGAAGGGGGTGGGGGCGGGGGGTTGGCTGATGACATTTTCTTTGTCCTCAGAATCCAGGTGGGAGGCGCCGTGATGTTCTGCTCTGAGGGCTGCCAGGCCATTGTGGACACAGGGACTTCCCTCATCACAGGCCCCTCAGACAAAATCAAGCAGCTGCAGAAGGCCATTGGAGCCGAACCCATGGATGGAGAAGTCAGTGCCGCCTGGGGTAGGGAAGAGGCAGGAGCAGGGGAGCGGGGAGGCCTGTAAATGGGTCCTCTGTGTTGTGTTTTAGTATGGGGTGGAGTGTGCCAACCTCAACGTCATGCCGGATGTCACCTTCACCATCAATGGCGTCTCCTACACCCTCCAACCAACTGTCTATACCCTGGTGGTAAGAACTGTTTCCTTATTCTGCAAGTCATAGGGCCTTCCCCACGAGCCCACCACTTCCTCTTTTCAGTCACCTACACCCAGGCTGCGTCTGCCCCGAGCCCCGTTCCCATCTTCTCCCGCACTAGGTGTTCCCTCTGGAAAGGACAAAGCTGCCTGTGGGGGAAAGACCCCCGGGCTGGTTCTCTCTCCATTCCCGTCCAGCCATGAAGCAGCAGCAAACCTTGGACAAGCCATCTAGTGAAGTTTGCCGACATTGTCACGTAGGACTTTTCAACTAACCAAGTTTAATCCTTCAAACACCCAGTAAGATTGGATATTATTTTCCCATTCTGGGGATGAGGATATTGAGACTCGGAAAGTTAAGAGGCTCGAGGTATGAGCTACTTGAGGAGGAGGTACGGAATGAGGTTGTATCTTCTCACGTTCAGATTAACGTTCTCCTCAAACCAGAAAGGGCCTTTTATTGCAGTAGGTTCCTAAGTTTGTAGGGCGAGGTAGAAAGGGAGTTCCTGGGGGAAATCTATGATCGATTCACACCACAGTTGGCCCAGATTTTCAATATCACATGCAGTTCTTTGGTGATACTCAACACACTAACTTTACCGGAGAGTCACCCACAGCACCAGGGTGATTGCGTCAGAATGGAGGTGCTGAGGTGTGGAGCACTTTAGGGACTTACCTACCCCCCCCAACACACACCTTGATCTCCATGAACCCTTTCCCCAAGCCACCAAGCATAAACAGACAATGCAAGTGAAAACAGATGTTCTTTTAAAGTTTTTATTTAAATTCCAGTTAGTTAACATACAGAGCAATATTAGTTTCAGGTGTGCAATATAGTGATTCGACACTTCCACACAGCGCCCGGTGCTCATCACAAGTTCCCTCCTTAATCCCCATCACCTGTTTCACCCATCCCCCCCCCACCCACCTCCCCTCTGGTGACCAGCAGTTTGTTCTCCATAGTTAAGAGTCTGTTTCTTGGTTTGTTTCTCTCTCTCTTTTCCCCTTTGCTCATTTGTTTTCTTTCTTAAATTCCACATATGAATGAGATCATATGGTATTTATCTTTCTCTGATTGCTTTATTTCACTTAGCATTATACTCTCTAGCTCCATCCACAACATTGCAAATGGCAAGACTTCATTGTTTTTATGACTAAGATTCATATATATATATATATGAATATATATATATATATATCCCACATTTTCTTTATCCATTCATCAGTCTATGGACATGGGCTGTTTCCATAATTTGGCTATTGGCTATTGTGGATAATGCTGCTATAAACATCAGGATGCATGTATCCCTTTGAATTAGTATTTTTGTATTCTTTGGATAGATACTTAGAAGTGCGATTGCATAAAAATCCTAGAAGCGAACACAGATTGTAACCTCTTTAATACTGGCCATAGCAACTTCTTTCTGGATATGTCTCCTGAGGCAAGGGAAACAAAAGCAAAAATAAACTATTGGGAACTCATCAAATAAAAAGCTTCTGCATGGTGAAGGAAACAACAAAACTAAAAGGCAGTCTGCAGAATGGGAGAAAATATTTGCAAATGACATATTCCAATAAAGGGTTAGTATCCAAAATATATAAAGAACTTAGAAAATTCAACACCCAAAAAACAAATAATCCAATTAAAAATGGGCAGAAGGCACAAATAGAAATTTTTCCAAAGAAGACATCCAGTTGGCCAACAGACACATGAAAAGATGTTCAACATCACAGATCATCGAGGAAATACAAATCAAAACTACAATGAGATATCACCTCACACCAGTCAGAAGGGCTAAAATCAACAAGGCAAGAAACAACAGGTATTGGCGAGGATGTGGAGAAAGGGGAACCCTCTTACACTGTTGGTGGGAATGCAATGTGGTGCAGCCACTCTGGAAAACGGTGTGGAGGGTCCTCAAATAGGACTACCCTATGGTCCAGTAATTGCACTACTAAGAAAACAAATGTTTCACAGCTTCGTGTCAAGCCCCCTAAGCTTCTCCAACAAAGGGATTCTGGAGCTGCCACTATGAACACCAAACTGGGGACAAGCTAGACACTTTAACTGTGTCAAGCTCAGTCAGCCTATATACCCTTTGGCATTCCGGTACCCTCATACTCTCCCACCTGCACCCTATGTGAGTCCCTGCTCACCCCACTTCCTCCCCTATGCCCAGCGTGGTGCCCTTGTCCTTTTCTGCCGGCAGATTTCAATCAGAGCCACCTCAGTCTGCCAAGAACGCTGTAACAGCAGTGCATGGTTATCGCCTTCCTCTCAGGAAGGTGCTTTAAGCTCTCTGCAAACTTCCCAGACCCTCATCAGCAACCTCAAATCTCAAATGGTTGTTGGAAAGCCCACACCCGCCTGGTAGACCCCAAGTCTTTGCCAAACTAAAAAGTAAGGTGGGGGCACGTTACACTCTCCTCACAGGACAATGGATGCCTACTTGCCTCATACCTAAAAAAGGATTCTTCCCCGGAACATCAAGAAAACAGCAATGTAATTTCTCTCCCTTAAAAAATTAAGTTGAGCTTCGCTAGAAACTAAAGAAAGCAGAACTTAAGCCAAGATCTTCTAAAACCAAACCTTTTGCTCTTGCAATCATGGAACAAGGTTTCACTTTTCCCAGTTGTAAAATGGGAGGCAGGGAGCATGTATGACAGATGAACAGTTCTCAAAATTGTAGAACTTAGAAGCCCAGGTCCACATATACAAAACGGTGTGAACACAAGTGGAGGTGTATGAAGCGGAAGGAAGAACCAACCAGCCAACATCGTGACCGACCAAGGCCGCTTGGTATAGTCACCATCACTACCACACGGTACAGCCTCCAGGCAGCCCTACTTCCCTTTCTCCCTCTATGTCACTTACACCTTCTTTCCCACCCCAGGACTTTGTGGATGGAATGGAATTCTGCAGCAGCGGCTTTCAAGAGCTTGACATCCAGCCTCCCGCTGGGCCTCTCTGGATCCTGGGCGATGTCTTCATTAGGCAGTTTTACTCAGTCTTCGATCGTGGGAATAACCGTGTTGGGCTGGCCCAGGCAGTCCCCTAAGTCGCGGCCTTGTGTTTGAGCCTGGCTGCCTGACACCCCTTAGAAATCCAGCTGGGCCCGTTCGGTTGGGGCATTCTTCACAATGGTCAAAAAGTCATTTTCGGGAGGATACAGTTGTTCTAGAGCTGCAACTTGAATTGGGTCCAAATAGAGCATGAGAACACACACCTCACACACACCACATACACCACCTCCACCGCCATCATGATGGAAGAATTAAGTTGTATGCCCATACTTTTTATTGCTTGTTGCTAACATTTTCTTTCGGCAATCTCCAGACATGTACACAAGCAGAGATTATAGCACAATAAATCCCCACGCAGCACCCTCCCCCCCCACCTTTCATAACTCACCTGCCCGTGGCCAGGCCTGTTTTATCTGCTTGCACCACCACCCTCTGCTACCCAGCCCACCTACCTGCATTATCCCGAAGCAAATTCTTAGCATCACATCATAAATCATCACATCCAAGATTTATCCATAAATCCTTATAATATTCTTAAATAGGCAATCAGTGTTCAAATGTTCCCTATTGTCTGGGAAATGTTGGGTCATTTTTACCAGTGACTTGTGTGTATTAGGATGCAAATAAAGTCTTCAAATTGCGTTTATTTGAACTGTCTCTATGTCTCTTTCCACGTGTAGAGTTCACCGCATTCTGAATTTTGCGGGTTGAAATCCAGAGGTATCATACAATGTGGTTCTGAGTCCATCTTTCCTACAAAATGGCAGTTGGCTCTAGAGCCTGGTTTTGTGGCAAGAATATTTCATCCGTAGTGCTGGGTACATCCCACAGTAGCCCATCAGGAGGTAGATCATGCCACAAGGTTAGAACTGACGAGTGGGTTCGGGAGCTGTTAGGCTCATCCATCCATCCATGACCAATTTCCTTAAGCATTTTACCCAAAGGTTTCGGCAACCACTAATTATCATTGCTTAGATCCAAGCTATCATTAGGGCTGCAAAATAGAGATTTTTTTTCTAATTCTATTTTTTCCTCCTGTGTTTGTTAGCCAGAGTTCTTCTATTCAAAAACAAACAAACAAAAGCAAAAACAAAAATCAAAAAAACCGTTCATCAACAATTTGCTTACTATTAGGTATAGTTCATACAGGAAAGGCAAGCTTACTTGGCTTTTTCCCTTTATTTAGCAGCTTTCAGAAAAATGAGTGTGATTCAACTTAATGCAGTTTTTTCAATATTCAAAGCACTCCACACTTAGCCTGCAGGTGCCCCTTCAGGTTAGTTTCTGGGAACTTTTGACTTGACCCCAACACAAAAAGATGTTCCAAGCCCGTTCCCAAGGAGTCCTGGTTCCTGGCTGTGGGCTCATAATTTTGTTGTAAATGAAAATATTTCAGAATGTCCAAGGAGATGGAAGGGGGGAAGGGGCTCTGAACGAGCCCTTTTCTCTTATGGGGCCCCAGGGCCCATCCTGAGGGAGCTGACATGGTGAATCCGGGTCCGAGTTGATCCCCATTCTGGTGGGATCTATTGCCACCAGAAACAACAGGTCTTTCTTTTCCTTCCTTTTGTTCTTGCGCTTTGCAAAATGCAAGTATCTTCAGGGTTTTCCTTATTATAAAATATGTGAAAGTCCTCCATGATCCTTACCCTCAAAGATAAGCATTATTATTACTTTGAAGTTGCTTAACGCACATTGACTTTTCCTTTGAATATACAAATAGTGATAGCCATAGGTAAGGAATTTTTTTTTTTTTCCTAAAAAAAAAGGAATAGGGGTGCCCGGGTGGCTCAGTAGGTTGAGCGTCTGCCTTCAGCTCGGGTTGTGATCCCAGGGTCCTGGGATTGAGTCCCGTGTCGGGCTCCCTGCTCAGCAGGGAGTCTGCTTCTCCCTCTCCCTCTGCCCCTCCCCCTGCTCATGCTCTCGTTCGCACTCTCTCTCTCTCTCTCTCAAATGAATAAATAAAAAATCTCTTCAAAAAAGAAAAGGGATCATACTACATATACTTGTCTCTAAACTGCTCATGTAACAGATTCCACATCAGCACAGTCAGCTCTTTCCTTGTAACATCTGCATGGTGTCCATTTTTCATCAAATCCTCTCCTAATGAACATTAGATTCATTTTGGTTTAATTCAACCCAATCCCATAAATATTTATTTTGTGCCAGGCACTAAGGGAGTTACTCTAAGACCCTCAAGATCGGTAGGACAGATCCCAACTGTCACTTTTGGCACAGAGGTCGTGGAAAACACATCAGGCTTGCAGTCAGATAACCTGGATTCACATTTGTGCCCTGCCCCAATCAATTTGGTGACCTTGGCTAGTTCATGTCTCTGAGATGCCTACCTCACAGAGCTATGGGGGAGAGTCAATGAGTTTACCTGGATGGAAGCACTTAGCTCATAATGTTAGCTCCCCCCCCCTTTAAGTATAAGGTCAAGGTAGATCCCAGCTTCACACATACACACATGTTTTTCTGGTTTTTCTTGCTTGCTTGCTTTCTTGCTTTCTTTCCTTTTTTCTTTTACTAAATTATTACATCCAGAGTTAATTCAGAACAGCCTGATCCAAATAAACCATCAAAGCAATATAACAGAGCAGTTAACATCACAGGCTCCGGAGTCACACAGGCCTGGGCTTGATTCTTAATCCCAGTTGTGGGAACTCTGCGCCTGTTTCTTCACCTGTAAAATAGACATGATAACAGTAACTATCTCATAGGTTTATTGTGAGGATCCAATAGCTACAATGCATATGCAGAAACACTTAACTAGTTTGTGTGCCTCTGCTCATCACACAGGGACCAGACCCACACTCAGCCTGGACAAATCTCACACAGGGTAGAAGGGCCTAGAGTAAAAAAGCTTTATGATTTCTCCTCTAAAACAAAGCACCCAAAAGCCATGTGGGAACGAACTGGTAGATAGCATCGCTGCAGGCTTTCTCCTTAAAGGTGATCTCTGCACAGTGGGCTACCCTGATGGATTGCATGTGCAGCCAGGTCCCTGTGGGTCCAGGAGCCTGAGAGCTGGAGGCCTGGGCATTGAGGGTGATGCTTAATCCGTGCACGCAGGAAGTGAGAGCAGGTGGGAGGCTGCCCAGAGCCAGTTCTGCTCTAAGCACGCTGGTCTCTCGAGGCAGAAGTGATGCTTTCAGTCCTTGTGGACTAAACTCTGCTGGCTCTGCACCTACTTAGCCTTATTAGGTGCTGTGAGTTTTCCAAAACTGACCTTTGCTCTTTGTGACCTTCACATCAGTGATGTTAGCCCTGAAACTCAGGTCTTTGTCCCATGTCCCATGTCTCACCCTAGGTCACAAACCTCTCAGTGATGGGCCAAGAGCTTTGGCCAAGCTTCGCTGCACCCTGGGAATTTGTTAAAGGATGTATATTCAATTCCCTGGGGGTGCCATGAGCAAGTACCACAAACTGGGTGGCTTAAAGCTACAGAAATGGACTGTCTCACCGTTCTGGAAGCTAGAAGTCCAAGATCGAGGGGTCAACAGGGCCATTATCTCTCTGAAGCTCGTAAGGGAGAATCTTCCTTACCTTTTCCAAGCTTCGGGTGATGGCTGGCAGTCCTTCACGTTCCTCGTGTGATAACAGTGACCCTTCAATCTCTGCCCCGTCGTCCACTGTGTGTCTGTCTCTGTGTCTCTTTTAAGGACACGAGTTGTATTGGCTGAGGGCCTCCCTACTCCAGTATGAGCTCATCCCGACTTAACTAATTGCATCTTCCAAGACCCTCTTTCCAAATAAGGTCATTCTGTGGGACTGGGGGTTAAGGCTGCAACATATATTTGGGGGAAACACAATTCAACCAGTAACAGAGGCGTTGTTAACCAGCCACTCTATTTGATTTTTGGCTTATTAAAGTCCTTTCAGGAGATTTTCGTATTTTGTCTTTCTTCCCTTTCTTCTCTTTATTTTCCCCCCTCACACACACACACAAAAAATCTGTAAATTGGACCGAGCAAGTTTTATTACCCTGTTTTCTAAATGAGGAAATTGGAGTGATGAAATAATGAAATGATTTGTCAAAAGTAGAGTGAAAGTAAAATCCACGTCTTCTGGCCCCTCACCCCTGCTTCTAATTTTTTTAAAGATTTTATTTATTTATTTTGCAGAGAGAGAGAGAGAGAGCACAAGCTGGGGGAGTGGCAGGCAGAGGGAGAGGTGGACTCCCCACAGAGCAAGGAGCGATGCGGGACTCGATCCCAGGACCCTGGGACCATGACCTGAGCCAAAGGCAGATGCTTCACCCACTGAGCCACAGGCGTCCCCCCTGCTTCTAATTTACACCCCTTCCCCCAAGCCCAGGTATCTGTCAGTTCAGGATGTCACCAGGGCAAGGATGGCAGGTAGATTTTGGTCGGTCTCCCCAATAATATTTACCTTTTAAAATAAAAACGGATTTGCTGCTGACAAGTCAATGGTTGCTGATCCCAAGAGGCTCTAGATGGCTTCCTTCTGTCTGCTCCTCTGTGGAAAGAAGACCCTGCTAGGAGGATTTCTGGGAACCTGCTATGTCTGGGCTGGGCATCACCTCCTTTGAGGAGTCGTCCCTCTCCCGGTCTATGTGAGCCTGGCGGGCTGGCAGCCCTGTCATCAGCACCCACATTACAGGGGACCACACAGGCCTCAGTCACACCCACCAGACTCTCTCTCTCTCCTGGGAAGCTGAATGTTGAGTGGGCCTCACAGGGAGGACGGGTGTTGGGGGCCTGGCAGGCACACCAAGAGATAGCTCCCGAGTCCCCAGTGCTGAGACCACCCCGGCAACCCTGCCTCTGTCCTTCCCAAGGTCCAGTTGTCCATCTCTTCCTGCTGCTTCTGTTGTTCTCAGCTGAGGAGCTCTGGCCCATGCATCCCGCGGTCGGAGGGCGACCAGATGACCGTCCTGCCGTGAGCATCAGAGGTCTCGGGCCTGTGAAGCCTGATCCCTTCTCTAAGTGAAGCTCCAGGTCAGGGCTCAGCCACCTGGCTGGGGAGCTCATCCGGAAGAACTTGTGCCCATGAGGAGAGTAAGGGGAGAGGAGACATGTGAGACCACAAACCTAGGCTGTGTGAAAGACATGCAAGGCCAGGCCTCAGGACCAGAATATGCTTCTATTCCTCAGCCTCAACATCTGCCTCTTGCTTTTTCAACAGCTGCCAGGTTATGATGTAACACCAACTTCTGTAACAGATAAACACCCCGAATCGCAGTGTCTCAACACAATAAGAGTTTCTTCCTCACATGAAGCATCCAGGTAAAGAGCCGCACGATTCAAGAACGGGGATCCCTTCTGTCTTGTGGTTCCCACAGCCCCCAGGACCTCAGAGTTATTCTTTGTGTCCCACAGACAGGGAGAGTGGCCGATCCCGCAACATGTGTGAACACACCAGATCTGAAGGAGGCTAAGGGGCCAGCAGGACATTTCCTCTACATCTATTCAACTTGAGCTCCATGAGGGCGGAAGCTCTGTCTGGTTCACCGTTCTATCCACTGGCTCACCCGTAACCCACAGCCACACCTTATCTGCTGGGCTGCAAAAGCCTTGTAGCAGTGGCCTGAGGTGTGAGGTGACGTGGGGGTTGTCTCCATTGCTCAGACCCACGTGGAGGCGCCTCATCTCCTAGGTGAATGTGACTACTACACATTCACAGCAAGCACAGCTGCTGCCCGGTTCCCCAGGGCATTGCCAGCAAGGCCATGTGGACGGGGCGCAGCTCAGAGTGGCTCCATGACAAGGTGGCGGGGTGGCAGGTGAGCTCGAACTATCTGCCGGTTCCTGCTCTCTCCTGTCCCCGTTGGTCAGAGTCTTGCCCGCGCGCACCGGGTCCCTGCACTTCCGAGGTGTACTCCTGGCCTCTCCAGGAGGCTGCTTGCCGGCTCCTCGACCCGCGGTGGTAGCGCTCATGGGTTTGAGACCAGGAAAACGGCAGGAGCCATCACCAGAATCGCTCTGGCCCGACGTGAGATGAGGGGCTGGGGCTGGGTGGGCGGATGGGGGTCAGGGCCAAGCACCGAGCCTGCGCCCGGCACCATGCGGTGGTCTGGGGACAAAAGCATGAGCAAGACAGGGAGAGTTCGCCCCGGAAGACCTTCATGGGTGCCACGGAGATGTCCTGCTGACACCTCAACCTCAGTTTCGACAAAACAGAAGCGCCCCTATCCCCTTCCGGTCTCACTGTTTCCCCTCTCAGCTAGGGCAGCGGTGTCCCCTCGGTTACGCAGCTCAGAGAGCACAGCCCCAGCTCATCCCTCCACCTGCCCCGCGCTCCTTCCTATGCCCCCAGCACATCTTCTGTCATAATTAAGATTTGCTGAGAGCTCGGGGCACCTGGGTGGTTCAGTCCATTTAATACCCGACTCAATTTCAGCTTTCGTCGTGGTCTCGGAGTCGTGGGATGGAGCCCCACATCAGGCTCTGTGCTGGGTGTGGAGCCTGCTTGGGATTCTCCCTCTTCCTCTCCCTCCGTCCCTCCCCCACTCATGTGCTAGCTCGCTCTCTCTCTCTCAAAAAAAAAAATAATAATAATAATAGGGGCGGCGGGTGGCTCAATCGTTAAGCGTCTGCCTTCAGCTCAGGTCGTGATCCTGGAGTCCCCGAGCCCCGCGTCGGGCTCCCTGCTCAGCGGGGAGTCTGCTTCTCCCTCTGACCCGCCCCTCTCTCGTGCTCTCTCTCTATCTCATTCTCTCTCTCAAACAAATAAATAAAATCTTAAAAAAAAAAATTCTGGCGAAGAAATGTTAGACACGGTGCCAGGAAAAACCAGATTGACATTGCTGTCCTGCGGGTCATCGGCCCTGACTCGGAGCCCCCTTTGTGCACTCTCCTGCCGAACAGACAGTCGGCACCTCCTTCCCTCCATCCATCCACAGATCACTTCTTACGTTGAACTTGACTCTCTCCTCTGCTGACCACAATCTGCACGTGTTCGTACCCTGTCGTCCTTCAAGCTCCAACTTCAAATCCCTCCTTTCCACAAAGCCTTTTCCTCCTATAAATCCTCCACAACCCTGTAGCTGCATTTCTTATATCATTATTTGTACTGTGTCTTATTTCCACTGATTAAATGCAAGTATCTCTCTTGTGTCCCCCAAAGGGCTGGACATACTCGGATGATTGGATGAATGCATGCCAGAGGGAAAGAAGGAAGGAAATTCAGTGAAGGCAGGGTCAGGGCCGCCCCTGCAGGCGAGAGGCTGGTCATCATTTTCCACTGGGACATGTGTCAGAGGAAGAGAAAGGGAAGTTGCTGACCTTTGATCCGTGTAGACAGAAGAAGTGAGAACTAAAGCCTGAGGGTGGCTTTCAAAGGTGTTAAGGCCGGTTCTGCAAACATCCTCTGAAAGTCTAAGCTTCAGTCCTGTGTTCAGAGACTGTAAGGACTAGGCGAGGGTAGTTCACTTCCCCTCCCCAAAAGCACCCACAGAGGCAGACCCTGTGGCTGGCGACTTTCACATGTTCTCTGCAAGAGGCTCACATATGCCTCCACGCTCTACAGGGGTTCCTCCTCATTCTCTCTCGCTCTCACCCACACACAACACGTTCATTGAAAACCTGGTCTCAGGAATTCTACTCCAAAAATCAATATGGCACTGCATGTTAACTAACTAAAATTTAAATTTTTAAAAAAGGAAAAATTAAAAAAATAAAACCTGGTCTCAGAAAAGTAGAATATAGGGAATTTAAGAACAAATCAGACGTCATACACCAGTGGTTATCCTGAGGGTGGATGGATGCACCCTTTCCCAAGCAAACAAAGCACCATATGATGGGTAAACGTGCCCTGGAATTTTTCCAGCATGGTGCCCCCCGTCTACTAGCGCACTTCAGGGAGATCAGCCGTGCCCTCCCTCCGGGCACATATGCTAACTGGAACAAGCGGGTGAGGTTCAGCTGGAACTTGTGTCCCACTGAAAACTCCTGACCCAGGCCTGTCCCTGGCACTGTGTGTGGCCAGGTGTGGGGTTCGAGGTTACTAGCTTGGCCTTGGGGGAACGCAAGTCCGGCTGACCAGACGGACGTAGACAGTAGCAATGGGGCGGGGCCAGAGGCTCAAAGGACACAAGGAAGAATGAGCTGATATTGAGGCTCATGAAACAAAGGGACAGCCCCCCAGGCAGGAAAGAAGGAACATGGGGACGGAAGGCTACATCGAATGTGTTAGAAGCCTTAAGGAGAGCCCTGGGGAGCTGGGAACCCATTTAATTTGGGCTTGTCTAAACTCACTTTATTCCCCCTTTATGTGCCAACCATCATTACTCAGGGCATGGTTCCAGCAACTCAAAGGAATACCGAACTTAGCTGCATGCTAACAGTACTGAAAATAACCATAGTCTCTTTTAGTACTTCAGGTGGGGCCACTCATCTTCATCTGAGAGCCCAGGGAGATGTCAGGACTTGCCTCCCTGTCCTAAGACTGGTGCGTGCGTGCGTGCGTGCGTGGCAAGGTGGTATGATGCGGTGGGTGTACAGTACTAGGGTGAGGACCAGACTGTCGTCCTGCCAGGCTGGTGGTGGGACCGAGTCTACTGCACATATGAATCTAATACTTCCACAAACAGAAGGTCCCCTTCACCGGGGGGCTTCCAGCAGCCCCAGAAGCAGTTCCTAAACCAGCTAGAGGTTTTGCATGGTGCCCACTAACCTGCATGTTGTCCTGCAGGCTCTGACCCACACGCTCCCACCCTCGAGCCTTCCATTCCTTGTTCCTCCCCACCCTACCCCGGGGGGGGGGGGGCAGCATCCCGTAAACCCAATTCTCACAGGGCCCACCCCATTGAGTGAGCTCTGAAGCCGAGCTTCACATTGCACCCCACCCCCTCCACCCACACAGCTGAGCTCACCAGGGCCGGCCTCTTTTGCAACTTTCCCAAGTCTGTGCATGAGAGGGAGAGGAGGGAAACAGAAGGAAGTCGCTTGGCCTCAACAAGCTGTTCTGATCCAAAGCCTTTTTCCTCTGAACCAGCTGAGAACTTCGCTCTACGAGGAGACCGCCGGACTCAGAGAAAACGCCGCCTGCCCTCGGAGGCCAGATGCTAAGCGGCCACAGCTGTAAGTGCCCTGGAAGTTTTTTTCGGTTCTTCTGTCTGTCCCAGCAACCCCCAGAGGTACTGGGGTTTGGGGGTGGGGTGGGGGGGAGTAGAGGCAAGGCATGCAAGGATGAGGCTTAGAATCTGGCAGCTTCAGGGCTTAGATCCAACCCCAAGACCCCCCACGCCAGAGAAACATCTAGGGCATGGCAGTAAGCCAGGCAGGAAGGACTTCCCCGCCCAGCCCAGGGAGCTGGGGCCCGGCTCAGGGCTCTGCAACGGTCTCAGCAGGAGGACACAGCTGCTGACTCAGCTGAGGAGGGCCAGCTAACGCCCTGGGTAGGCTTGCCACATCAACAGGGCACCTTCTTGGTGGAACCCTCTGGCCAAAGAGTCTCACCGGTGAAGAGGAACTCCTAGAGTTAAGAAAGTGTCCTTGTTTTAAATCGTAAATGTCTCCCGGCACGGCTCTGCAATGCTAAGCAAGCAATGAACAGAGCTGGACAGATCTGGGTTCTAGTCTCAGCTTGCCACTAATTAGTTGTTCTTGACTCAGGAACCCAGTGGACTCTGCTGGCATTTTGTAAATTGCCAAGTGCCCTATAAGCGCTAGGCATTATGCATTAATAAAAATAATTTCTTTGAGCTTGTCAGTCGATGCCCCAACACACAAGATAGAGATAATAACTAGTTTGTAGCCTCAGATCTACATAGTGCTGATGCATAGTAGGCACATAGTACATGTGCTGGATGGATGGACAGATGGACGGACAGATGGATGGATACATGGGGATGAATGAACGACTGTTTATTGGAGATTCAATATTCCCAGCATGGGTCAGGCTCTGTGGAGGGATAGAGAAGTGGGAGGCAGTGTCCTGTCCTCTGGGCACTGACATTCTACTTAGGGAGACAAGACTAATACTTCCAAAGAACTTAAAGAACACGAGCAAGCGCTGAACCTCCTGAAACCAGGGCTATGGGTGCACTTCCTGGAGGGAGCAGGTCTAGACCTGCTGGGATTTAGGAGGGTAAGGCAGACTTGTGAGTCTTCCCTCAAGGCAATAAAGCTTTCACTCCATAGATAGCTTCTTTTCAAAGACAAACTTTATTCCCATGATTGTAAATCCCATTATTTTTAGGGTGGATATATTTATCATTTTCCAAGATGTGGGATCAGGGAGGGGAGGCACTGAAAGTGGGGTAAGGTAGTAGGAGCAAGGTGGGGAGACTGCCTGCTTCAGAATTCCCCTCTGCCCCTGCTCACTGGCTCCTAGTCGGCAGAAACGACACCTCACCCAACACCAGCAATGCAGGAGATTGTACCTGGGTCCTGGTTGGGGCCAGTGGGGTAGGGAGAGAAGGAAAGCGAGAAGGTAAGAGCAGAGCAGATCCAAGAGCCCTTGTAAGACTGGTCCCGAGCCCTAGGGCTGTTGTGGGTGGTGGGGGGGGGGGACATCAACCCAGTCTTTCTTGCGCCCCAGGGACTGAGCTATACCGTAGCTTGGGTGGGCAGGACCAGGGCTCCAGGCTTAGAAGGATTGCCAGGCAAGAAGGGGAGATGAGTTAGTCACATGCAGTAGACAGTGAGTCGCCTGCACATTTTTCTCTGGGTGGACCGGGGCTGGCTGAAGGCAGCCTGCTTTTTTCCCTGTTATTTAACAGTGGAAGGTGATGACTCAGCCTGGCCTCTAGGAGGATGCCCAGGTTTGAAGCATCCGAGGCAGCTGAGTGAGTGGGAGGAGGCTCAAAAGGGCAGCTGTTGCCAAAGTCTGGCCAAGGGCAGAGCCCAGAGGACATGGGAAGGGACTCAGCCACATCTGAAATCTGCACATGCCTCCTTGGTGAGCCCAGCCAGTGTCTTCTGCCAAGATGCCTTCCCTCACCAATGACATGGTCCTGGTCACCTTCCTGTTGCTGCTAGTTATCCTGGGTGCAAGGACCAGGCTATTTTAAATAGCAAGCTCAGCAAATATCTGCAGCGGCAGAATACTTTAAGGGCACATCCAGGGAAGGGGCCTGGGGGCGGGGGGTTGGGGGTAGGGAAAGGGAGCTCAGAGTCAAAGCCAAGGTGAGTCACAAGGGTTTGAAGAAGAAAAGACTCAAGAAAAACTCAAGGAGAAGCCTTGAAACCTCAGAAGGCCTGGCATGTGGCAGAGGGATTGAGCATGTTTTATGTGGCCCCAGGAGAAATCCACAGCTAGTGGAGGGAAGGAGCTCTATGGGGGCAGGTCCAGCTCTGTCTTCCATGATGTGGTCGAGATGGCTCAAGCATTGGGTGGGGGTGAGACTAGATCATCTTTGAGGTCCCTCTACAGTGCGCTGGAGCTGGCTCCCCACTGGTAGCTTGAAACCAGCCGGGGTGGGTGTATCTACACCGCAGAAGGTGGCAGGTGCTACAGATCTGGTCTCTGCCACCACCCCCATCCCATGCAATTGTTAACCATTTATCTGGGTCTTCCCCAGTTGGGGGAGCCTGTGCTCTAAGAAATGACGTGTGCCACCCTGCAGAATAAGCCACAGCCATGAGCCATGTCTGTTTCACCCACGTGGGAACACACTCACCAAGGTCAAGCAATTCACCCAAGGTCACGAATGTATGGAGAACTCTGATTCCAAAACTCGTGATCAATCCCTGCTACTAGGGGACCTCCCTCTTCTGCCCCAGACACAAAAGTCTTGTCAAGAAGTCACATTCAGGGGTGCTTGGGGGGCTCAGATGGTTAAACGTCTGCCTTTGGCTCAGGTCATGATCCTGGGGTCCTGGGATCGAGCCCCACATCGGACTCCTGGCTCAGCGGGGAGCCTGCTTCTCCCTCTCCCTCTGCTTGTGCTCTCTCTCTCTCTCTCTCTCTCTGTCAAATAAAAATTTTTTAAAAATCTTTAAAAAGAAAGAAAGAAAGAAGTCACACTCAGATGACTTTGGGCTGCCATCCACCCATGTGCTCTTTTTAAAGAAATTTTAAGGTTTTATATTTGATATTGTTTAATTACAATAACACCGAGCCTTATGTAGCAAATTTTAAAACAAGACATATATAAAATAAAACAATAGCTCCTAGCTTCTCATCTCCCTTCCCCCAGCTCCTATTATTCATTTAGAGTGTCTCTCTCCATAGCTTTCTGTATATACAGGACAAGCACAAGTATAATATTAAATATATGGTCAACACATGTGAGGTTGTTGTTTTTATACAATTGAGATCATACTATACAAAATGTTCAGGGATGTTCTTTTTTACTTAAATTGTTATCATATTTTTCTACCTCATTACTTCCCTCTTTTTAAAACCGCCTAGTATTCCAAAGTCTGAATGGATCATAATTTATGTAGAGACTCTCTTATCGATGGGTACTGGGTCACAACAACGTTCTCCAGCAATTATCTTTGCATAAAGGTATGTTTGAGCATAGGTACGTTTCTACAGGACAGATTTCTAAAATTAGAACCTGGGGTATTACATTTTGATATTGTCAATTTCCCTCCAAAAAAGGCCAGGCTTTTCGTAGTCTGTCAACAATATACAAATAGCGCTTCCGCTGTACATTTGCCGACACTAAATGTTACCATCAGTCTTTTTAATTTTTGCCACTCTCTGGCATGTAAAAAAAATTGGCATTTTTAAATTCTGTATGTCTCTAAAAATGAGTAAGGTTGAGTATCCTTTCAGAGCTTACTACTTATCATTCATAAGACTTCTGTTGGTTGCTTATTCATATTCCTTGCCCGCTTTTATGTTGTATGTTATTTTTGATTACCTGTTGGGAGTTTCCCAGGTAGTGCATACTGATCCTCTGTTATACACACACACTGTCTACCTCCCCTGCCCTCACCCCCAAATTCCCCTTCGTAAGCACACCAGCTTCGCTGCCCTACGTCAAGCCCACACCACCCAGCCCTGAGCCTCTCTGACAGGGGCACCAAGTGGCAGGTGTGTGATCCTTGTTCTAGTCTTATGGAAGACAGTAGAATGAGCAGGTAGGCCTGGATTCAAATCCCAGCTCCCAGTCCAGGCCCTACCATTCATAGGCTGTGTTTTTAGAGAGAAACTACCTCCCGTCTCTAAACATCTATATCCTCAGTGGTAAAATAGAGACCAATAGTGTCGGTCCCGCAAGCTCCTTTTGTGTGTTAATAATAGTCATAAAAGGGACGCCTAGGTGGCTCAGTCGTTAGGCGTCTGCCTTCGGCTCAGGTCATGATCCCAGGGTCCTGGGATCGAGTCCCACATCTGGCTCCCTGCCCAACAAGGACTTGGCTTCTCCCTCTGCCTGCCACTCCCCTGCTTGTGCTCTCTCTTGCTCTCCCCCTCTCTCTGACAACTAAATAAATAAAATCTTAAAAAAAAAAAAAAAAAAGGAAAAAAACCAAAAAAAAATTAAAAAAAAAAAAAAGAGAAGTCCAAAAGAGCTAACATTTCTTGAACCTTTAATGTGGGCCAGTAAATGTATTACAATAATATAGTGTATGTATTCTCATAATGTATTCACTCATTTAACCTCACAATGAGATGCATATTTGAATTTGCATATTCACAAAATCCTCAACTCAGTGCCAGGCTAACAGCGTATAGTGGGATCACAGATGTCTCCAACATGGAGGCATGGCCCTATCACAGCGCGTGAACACACTGCCCTCCAAGTAAGCACGCCGAGTCTTGACCGTGGTGGTCAGTCCTCACACAACAGCTCTTGTTCGGCAGACCTGTTCCCTCTGCTCCCATTTGTACCTCTTGTCCCTTGGGCTGCTTTTCTCTCCATCTCCTCCAGCTCTGCTAGGGTTTTGGGGGGCACACCACACCCAAGCCCAGGGACCCAGATCTTATGCACGCAGATTCTACGGGTCCAGACTCGGGAGGTCAGGAGGCAACGTGGCAGAGGAGCTTCTCTGGGCTTCAATTCAAACCCTGGCTCATCCACATACCACCTGGATGGCCTTGGATGACTTATGAGTGAGGCGGCTTTTCAGAGTCTCAAGGACTCACCTCACAGAACTCTTGGGAGGATTCCCTGGGTTCTACGAGAACGCAGAGCAGGCCCAGCGGGTGTTCTGCCGGTGCGACTTCCTTCCCCTCTGTCTCCACCTCCCTGTGGTTCTGACTCCCTTTCTAAGGCACTGTATTAGCTTTCGAAGCTAAGTTAGCATCTTGTACCAAAGCCTTTAGGAAAGAGCTCAGCATGGCTCCCGCTCCCCTTCTGGGGTCGTAACTGGTACTCGGAGGGACATGCTGCCTTTCTGAGGGTTCTGAGACATTTCTCCCTTGGGTGCCTTCCCTCCGGGCGGTGACATCCCTACAAAATGCCACCCTAACTAATACCTGGAATTACCTTCATCTACCTGTCTGGAGCATAGGGAATGTTTGCTGCAAGAATGAAGGAATGAATGAATGGACAGAATCCTTGGTCTGATCCCCACAACCCATCTTAAAACTTGCTTCTTCTCCCTGCTTTCCTATCTCCATAGGAAGATAGGCTGTGTTTTTAGAGAGAAACTGCCTCCCGTCTCTAAACATCTGTATCCTCAGTGGTAAAATAGAGACCAATAGTGTCGGTCCCGCAAGCTCCTTTTGTGTGTTAATAATAGTCATAAAAGGGTCTTCCCTTCCCTGAAGCAAATCGTCCACCTTCTCCATTCACCTGTTCCCAGAGTTTTGATTACTTCATTCCCTCCCTCTGAAATATCACCCCCTAACCACAAGTCTTGTTTCTTCAGGGCCCAGTTGGATTGCCGGCTTCTCTCCCCACCCGCAAATTCCCACAGCACTTTCTCTGTGCTCCTGTTGGGATGCTTTACACCTTCTCTTTGGTGTCATCACTCAGCCCTGTGCTTTCTCCCAAGTTCCTATTGGTTCCATCTTTGTGCTCCTCCCTGTGTCTATCGCAAAAGCAGGGCTTTGCAATGCAATAGACATGTAGGTCTTTTTGGAATAACTGTCATGGATCACCAAGACCTGTTGCCCACCATGCCAACCCAGCCCTCCTAGGCTATGGCAGAAGGTCCAGTGACACCAACTCTGGCTTTTGGGACAAGCAGCTCTGAGCAGAGCCTCAAATCACTCTTGGGCCATTGCATGGCTCATGGAGAGTCACCAACAGCCCTCAGCCTCTGGGGGCTTTTGTTTGAGCTTTGCACTAACTAGGCAAGGCAAGGCAAGCCTCTTGTGGCCAGTGAGTTACAGCTCCAGTAGATAAAGCAGGTTTCAACCAGAAGGGACCTTGAGTCTTTGGGGCCCAACTTGTTCATTCGCTAGTTGGAGAGCCAAGACTCAGAAAGGGGAAGTAACTGGCCCAATGCCCCACAGTGGCAAAGTGAGAGAATGAGAACCAAGGCCTCAGGACATCCAGTGTAGAGCTTTTTCCAAGTACCAGGGGAAACTCAAGCTGGCTCTTTTAACACCTCAGCCAGGCAGAGTCAGATCAAGGTTTGCTCAGTATGCCTACCGAGTACATCCAAGGATAGGAGACTCAGGAGTTGGGAATTGTGTATACATAAGTGTGCATGTAAGGGCAGAACCCAAAAAGCCAGTTAAGCAAACCCCCTGCGACAGTTTTGCTTTAGCTTGTTAAAAAATAATAATAACAATCAATATGTGCATGTCTATAGAAAATGCACACACGCACGTATGTGTATTTCTCTTATAGGAACAATACCTGTTTGCCATGTTTGTTATTTAAAAAAAGGAACATACTAAAAAGCACAGAGAACACATGTTAAATTGTGTAATTTCCTACCACCCAGAATTAATCACTTAAATTTGTTGTATATTTCTTTCTAGCCCTTTTTCTATGTAAGTGGGAACTCATGTCCATAACTGGGGTGGTATTGTATATACAGTTTAGTGTCTTCTGTCTTTCATTTAGACCCCAGGAGGGGCACCTAGGTGGCTCAGTCAGTTAAGTGTCTGCCTTCGGCTCAGGTCATGATCCCAGGGTCCTGGGATTGAGCCCCGGGTCGGGCTCCCTGTTCAGCAGAGAGTCTGCTTCTCCCTCTCCCTTTGCCCGTCCCCACTGCTCATGCTCTCTCTCTCTCAAATAATAAGTTTTTTTTTATTTTTTAAATAATTTTTAAAATTTTAAATGATTTTAAAATAATTTCTAAAAGTCTTTAGACCCTATGCATAAGCATTTCCCCACATTAATATAATATTCTCAAAAACTCCACATTAATAGTTCATTGTGTGCCATGATTTATTTACCCACTTCCTTGTTGTTGGATGTTTATAAATAATACTGTGCAGAACATTCTTGAACAAGAATCTTTGCCTGCATTTCAGATTAGTTCCTTAGGACAAATTCCTAGAAATGGAGGGCAGGAACATCTTTAAGGCTGTCAATACTTGCTGCCAAGTAGCTTTCCAGAAACATGTACCAATTACACCCCCACCAGCTGCATTGGAGAAGAGCCTTTTGATTCTGTGATTACAGCAACACCTCGGGATGGGGGAGGGGCACTCTCCCATCCAAAGCCTCTCAGGCGGTCCTGACAATGGACCCCTTGTCCTGCCCCCATCTCCTCTTCCCACACTGCCCTCCATCCCTGGCTCCAGGCTTGACTGTCCTCAAGGCCTCTGTTCAGTCCCGTCCATTCTTCTTGGCGCTCCAGGCTGCCTCCAAGAGTAGGGTTGGTAAAGCTAAAGGGTGAGTGATGTGCCTGTCCTATGGGGCCACCACACTTCCAGCCTTGGGGAGGCCCCAAGAGGAAGTTGGAGGGGAGGTGGCGTAAAGGTTGCTGATCATCCATCTCTTTTGGAAAACAACCCCACCTGAGTCTGGGCCCAGAGCAGTGATCTGCACATCAAGGGAGGGAAAGCAGAGGCCAGCCTGCAGGGGACTCTGGCTGCAGGGGACTCTGACCAGCATGCAGCTGACTCCTGTTTCCCTACAGGCTCTGAAGCCCCTCCATGAATCCCCGGAAGAAGGTGGACCTGAAGCTCATCATCATCGGAGCCCTGGGGTAAGCCAAGATCAGCTCAGGGTGTGGGGGTTGGGAAGCAGCCCCTACCCAAGGGCGGTGAGACCTCCTGAATATTTCCCACCTACCATGGGTCCCTTTCTGATTCAGAGTGGCACCAGGGAGGACATCCCACCCCCAGGAAGAGAGCTCAGATGGCAAAAGAGCCTGGGAGTCGGGCTGCCTGGTTTCTGCTTTATTTGGGTGGGTCCTGGCTTCTAGAGTCCATTCCCTAATCCCTTGCTGCTCACTGTGGTCCTTGGACTACAAGTGTTAGAAATTCAGAATCTTGGAGAGATGGCAGCAAGAGGGGCATGGCAAGATCTGAGAATGGTGTGTGTGTGTGTGTGTGTGTGTGTGTGTGTGTGTGTGTGTGTGTACGTTGTTCACATGTGTCTGGGTATTTGTCCTCAGTGTAGGAAAGACTTCCCTCCTCCACCAATATGTGCACAAGACGTTTTACGAGGACTACCAGACCACACTGGGGGCCAGCATCCTCTCCAAGATTATCATCCTGGACGACACAACTTTGAAGCTACAGGTGAGCAGCTCTGCCTTCCCCTCTTCAGCATGCATACCTGAAAATCATCCCACATTCCCTAGCTAGCCACTCAGACAGTAGTGTGCACCAGGAGCTACAAAGGTCTAGAGCAGAGATCAACAAACTTCAGCTCATGGACCAAATGTGGTCCACCACCTGTTTTTGTAAATAAAGTTTTATTGGAACACAGCCATGTCCACTGTTTACTTATGGTTATGGCTGCTTTCACACTACAATGGCAGAATTGAGTAGTTGCCACAGACGGTATGGTCTGCAAAGCCTAAAATATTTACAATGTTGCCCTTTAAGAAAAAATTGCTGATCCCTGATCCGGAAAAAAAAAAAAAAGGACAAATCCAAGGGTTGGGAGGCCCCACTCCTAGTCTCAGGTTCACCGGAAATCTTGGTAAGTGGCCTGGAGCAAGTCACTCCCAAGGTCCAAATCTATCCGATGAGAATAACTGTGCCTGTCTTGATGACCCAGGGGAAAAATGAGAGTTCAGATGACAGTGCAAAGATGCTGTAGTGTACATGGGCCACAGGGTTAAGATGCCTGTGGGTGAATGGACCACAAGCGCCTGTGCCAGGGCTGTCTGCTTCCTACCTGGGAAAGGAAACTTTGCCATCACGTGATCCAGTTGGGCCCACCTCCAGGCACTCATCGCAGCCCGACGGGGTGGCTGTTCTTCCCCTCCAGATCTGGGACACGGGCGGACAGGAGCGGTTTCGCTCCATGGTGTCCACATTCTACAAAGGCTCCGATGGCTGCATCCTGGCTTTCGATGTCACCGACCTAGAGTCCTTTGAAGCGCTGGATACCTGGCGGGGTGATGTTCTGGCCAAAACTATTCCAATGGAGCCTTCCTACCCCATGGTGGTGCTGGGAAACAAGATTGATCTCGCAGACCGGCAGGTACCGTCCATACTTTCATTCAGTCACCAAACATTGTGTGAGCACCTACTACACACCAGGCCCTGTGGTAGAGCCCACACATAGAGAGCTGAATCAGACACAGTCCTTGCCTTAAGAATCTTGTAGTCTAGTAGTGGATACAGACACTCTAAAAGATGATTATGATAAATGCAATGATAGAGATATACCTTGGATATTTGGGGACCACAGTGAAAGGGCATCTACTCAAGCCCAGAATATAGAAAGGGCTTCCTAGGGGAGGTGGATTCAGCATGAGCAAAGGCAAGAAATAGCATGATGTGAGTTGAGAAGTGAAAGCAATTTTGTCTAGAGACGGGGAATGGAAGAATTAAGGCATCAGAGGAAGGCAGGTGGAATTTGAGTTCTTATAGAACAGTATTTCTACCCAGGGCCAGGCAGGGGATTGCAGTTATAAATTCTTGACTCTATAAACTTTCTGGGAATATATTTTATCAGCATGAGTGTATTCCAGATTATCTGGCTAACCACATGACAGCCAGTCTGCTCCATAGCTATAGTGACCCCACTCGTGTAGGTGTTTACTGCCATAGTGGAATTGATTAGAGCTCTTTCCTTATTGCGTACTAATGAAAAAAACAAGAGAGGTAGTCTTAATTTGTAAAAGATGCTCTTGTGCCAAATGAAGCTTAAATGACACCAAAAAGAGCCATTTGAACAAGGTTGTCTTAGTGTTTCAAAGGGAGAAAAGAAATGAGGAACTGAGCCATCATATTTGAGCTACATTTTCACAACGGTTCAAATAGAGAAAAGGATAGAACTGAGGCATCATTTGGAATGATGGATGGATGAATGGACAGACAGACAGATGGACAGGTTGGATGGATGGATGGATGGACGGACGGATGGATGGATGGATGGATGGGTGGATGGATGGGTGGATGATGGTGTTTCCAATGAAGCTACCACCATCATTAAGAAGAGCCTTCTGTTCAGAAAGAGATGAGTTTAGATGTGCTGAGTTTAAGGAACTTGTAGAACAACTAACTGGAGATGACAGTAGAATATACAAGAATAAAACTTCAAAGGAGATGTCTGTGCTGGAAATAGAAATCTAGGCATCATCAATTCAATGGTCACTTCAGGTTTCAAATTTAGTGTCAACTCTTTAATTGCAAACATCCAGGCTCAGGTAATAATCAAAGTCCTAAGTTCATTAAAAGGCAAGTTGTCTCCCTTTCTTTTTTCCACTTGGGGCAGTTATAGGTGAGAAACTATGGTCTAGGTGGAGGGAATGGTCCTTTGCCTATCATTGCCGACTTTATGTGGCCTACACTCCCTCCCCTTCTCTGGATAATTCTGGTTTCAGACCCTGTCAGGAATGAAGCAAGAGGGAGAAGAAGTCAGCAGAGCAGGAAAATCCTTATTTGATGGGTACTGTCACAAGATAGTTTGTACTCTCTGGCCCCGGCAGGTGTTTCAAGTCGTCTCTTCCATGGGTTACCTTTGGATCCATAAGAAGCGCCCACTGGAAGCATTTACTGTCCCTCCTATGACAAGCGTCTTGCATTTTCCGCCTCTCTCTCCTCGTCTTCTGATTTTTCATCCTCCACCCAACTGAGGGCACCATTTCCTGCAGGCAGCCCTCCTGATGAGATTTACAACAGCCCCAGGCTGGCCAGCCCTCTGTGGAGCCTCCATCTCCTTCACAAGGCTTGCCCTCGAATTCTGGCTCCCTTGTAGGAGCAAGGGTGATTGGTTCTCACAGCAGTCTGTTCTCTCTCTGCCCTGTTGCCTTTTGCCTTAGATCCCTCGAAGGCATGCCAGGCACCTGTCTGCGGTATCCACCAAACTACAGGGGTCGTATGTTAAGCTTTTCAAGTGGCCTCCTTGAAGCCTTCCTTTTTTTTGGCTAGAGGTGAGGCTTTACCTATTCTCCCTCTTGCAGGAGGGTAAGGCATATACCCACAACACAACTATTTCCAAAGAAATCCTTTCTAATCCTCCTCTCATCCTTTTATATTCATGCTGTGGGTTTTAGAGCCATCTAACAATTTCTTGGTCATGAACCTTTGGAAATGCACAAGGTCCTGGGGCGGTCTGTCTCCCAACCCACTTTATATCTGACATCCATCAAATTGTAGTGCCTCTGCTGAAACTTCCATTTTAACATCCTGCTTCATGAACCTGTAGGTCATAGAGTGGGAAGTTGAAGGATTCCAAGCCTGAGAGTGATTTTTTCTCAGTGAAATCAGAGGCACCAGCTTCTACTGAGCAGGAGAAGGAAGGGAACCAAGTAGAAGCCTCAGGAATCATGGTGAAGCTTTGCCAGTTACTCTGGAGAGAAGTCAAGGACAAAGATAAGAACTGGTGGGTGACGCTAGAGGCTCAGCGGAAGAAGGAGACCAGGAGTTAAAGCTGGCATCTGCAGGTTGGGTGTTTCTCCAGCAGCCACATGTGGGTGGGGAGCCAGGAACGAGGGACCTGGGACTAAGGTGTTTCCAGACAAGAGTAGCTGAAGAGTAGAGGTGTGGGGGCATGGACAAGCCACCAAGGAAAGAAGAGAGCCAAGGGGAGGTTTGAAGGAGCAGGCAGCTGCAGTGTCCAAGGCGGAAGGGCAGAGCAGAAGGAAGGAGGGCGGAAGGAGGTCGAAGGGAAGGAGACTGTGTCACAGAATGGGAGGCCAGATTCAATATTTGATGGAGGTCCTGAGTCAAGACCCGAGAAGAAGAGGCTGAAGTGGAGAGAAGATGCATTCTGTTGGGGGGGCAGGAATTGTGAGGCTACCCTGAGCGGGGGCGGGGGGGGGCACGGGGTGAGGATGACAACAAGCAGGTGATGACTCCGAGGGGTGGAGGGGAGTCCATCCAAGCCAGGGGAGGGGCTTTGCTCTTCAGAGAGAGGAAGGAGAGAGACCTGAAAGAGGCAGTGAGGCCCCAGGCAAGCCCATTCTGGGGTCTGTGGTGAGCGACACATGGAGATAGCCCCCACTGGTGAGGGCGACAGGGGGAAAGTCCAGAGACTCCAGGAAAAGCCAGGGCTCAGCCAAGCCAGGGAAGTGAGAGAGGACCCTGGAGGAGGGAGAGTGAGGGGAGTTTGTCTTTCTGCAGGCAAGCCCCCCACCAAGGGCATGGCAGGGTGGGGGTGGGGGAGGTAGAGTAAACACCAGAGGTGGGGAAGCGCTCAGCAATAATGAAATGAGGGCAGGGAAGTGGAGAGGAGGAACCGGTGAGTGAGGAGGGGTGAGGCTGGGAAGCCGCTGCCCTCCAGGGTCTGTTGTTTTGTCCCAGCTTAGCAGGGGGGTTGGGGAACAGAGAAGGCCAGCTGAGAGACGTGCTCTGGGCTCTCACGTGCACAGGGGTGAGTGGGTAAGAGCCAAGGGCCACCTGAAGGAGCGCCTTCTCGGCACTCAAAGCCGTGCCTGCTGTGTGCCCCTGGTCAGCTCCAGTGTCCTCACGGGCGACATAGAGCCCAGACTCGGATTTCATGAGCTGGCCTGGGGATTGAAGGTAGTGGTACCAGAAAGCAGCACGTGACGAGCTTAATATACCGCGGGGGTTGCTAGCCTCGCTCTTATTTCCTCCACGGGATGGGCTGAGAAAACATGCAAGTTTTTCCCACTTCATAAAACGGAAATAAATATTTAAAACTAGATTGCCAGATTTAGGATGAGGGGAAAGTTCTGGAGATGGGTGGGGGTGATACCCATCCATCCATACCCAACAGCGGGAATGTGCTTAATGCTACTGAACTGCGAGCTTAAATATAGTTAAAATGGTAAAACTTATGTTTATGTATATGTTGTATACGTTACCACAATAAAATACATATATATCTGTGTATTATATATGTATGTATCATATATATGCATGTATTATATATACATATATTTATCACCAGAATGATTTTAAAGAAATGGTTGACTTTTTAAAAAAAAATCCCTATTCCGTCTATAAAAGGTCATAGTGGAAAAATATCAGTTTGATAGAACAGCTCTGCTAGCACCCAACCTACAGGGAATTTATTCACTGGAATGTGAATTCTTTGCTCTATGCTCAGGTAGGCAATTTCTAACTCATCACTGATCCATAACATGGGAATTGTATTTTCCGAAAATATTCTGTTATTTTTGGTAGCGGTTTAAGATGTACCTGACTCACTAATGTTAACATTTATACAATTGATCATTTAAAATGCATAGGAGATGGAGGGGCGCCTGGGTGGCTCAGTCGTTAAGTGTCTGCCTTCGGCTCAGGTCATGATCCCAGGGTGCTGGGATCGAGCCCCGCATCAGGCTCCCTGCTCAGAGGGGAGTCCGCTTCTCCCTCTCCCACTCCCCCTGCTTATGTTCCCTCTCTCACTGTGTCTTTCTCTGTCAAATAAGTAAATAAAATCTTTAAAATAAAATAAAATAAAATGCATAGGAGATGGAAAGGCATCATACATAAAATTATGCAAACTGAGCTAGATTTGTGAAACGTTTGGCCTCTGATGAACAAGCAAAATTGTAACAGAAGGAAAACGTTAATAGTATATATTATCAACCAAAAGCAAAATTAACCCAGGTAATGCTTTTAAAAATTTTGTATTTCCCATAATAAAAATAAATAAATAAAATAAAAATAAAAATTTCGTATTTCCCAAGTCCCCAAGTAGCCCACCCTGAATTTATTGCCACAGTCAGAGCCCAAAGTATAAAGAACTGTCATTTTATAAATAAAGAGAAGACAAGATGATTTAAACTATCATGAAACCGCAGCAAGAACTGGAAGTGAATAGTGAAAGGTGCTGTCTGGGTGGCTTTCTTCCCAGGCCAGCTTGTGGAGGTTGAGTGGGGAAGGAGAAAGGGTGAATGAAAAGAAGGAATTCTTTTTTAAGATTTTTTTTTTTTTTTTTTTTGAGAAAGAGAGAGAGCACGAGCGAGTTAGAGGCAGAGGGAGAAGCAGGCTCCCCGCCTCCGAGCAGGGAGCCCGATGCGGGGCTCCATCCCAGGACCCTGGGATCATGACCCGAGCTGAAGGCAGACGCTTAACTGACTGAGCCACCCAGGCGCCCCAAGAAGGTTAATTTACAACATAATCTCGACTGACGTTTTGGGGCGTGTATTTAACCATTCCATATAAACCCAGCAGAGAAGGATCGGGGCAAGTGAGGTGAAACGCCTACCACAAGCGGGCACCAGACAGACCCCCGTCACTGCCCGGTGGGAGAGAACAGAGCTGAGCTGTGCTGAGCAGATTGCTGCTGCAGGGCTTGTCCTCCCAGCTCTGTTGCTGGGCTCCACGGGCACTAATTCTGCTTCTCACACCACGAAATATAAAAGATCTCCCTACATCCTGGAGAAGGGGAGGCCTTGACGTCTTTTCACTTGACCTCAGTTTTTACTGCAACTCCTGTGCATGCTCATCACCTGGTGGGGCTGGGGGTGGTTAGAGAGAAGGAAGGCAGGAAGGCCCTGTAAGAGGTCAGTCCCGTCCTCCCACTGGAGGATCTTAAAAGGTAGGAAGCCCTTTGCATTCCTAAGGTGCCATCCAGGTACAACAGTGAGTTCCTAATGCTTATTTATTTGTGGTTACTGGTGAGGACAGCACGAATCACCAGCCACCCTTGCTTGACCCTTCCTCCAAAGAGTTCAGAATGTTCCTGAACTGTGAGCCTTCTTGGTTGCTCACCAGGCCTTGGGCATCCGTGCTCCATGGAAGGAAGCAGTCCTGGCCAATTCTAGGGCCCTCCTCCTAAAGGCAGGAGGGTCTTAGAGATCAGAGGCCAAGACCAAGGCCTAGGGTTTCCCCCCAGGACCTGGGCATGGGGTGTGGATGTGTCACCTAGCCCCCAAAAGACAGGCTGCTTAGCTGAACCCAGGCTGCACCCTCCAGTCTTAGGTGGCGAGCCTCCCAATGCTGGGGCATTGCTGGTGTCACTGGGAGAGACAGCTGTGAGCCCCTGGTGCTGCCGCCACACGTGAGACCAGGGAAGCAAGGACCAAAGAGACAGGGGACAGGGATGCTTCCTTTAATCCCAAAGAGACAGTCATTCCTAGAACCTGCAGGAGTGAGGGAGGCAATCTGATTTCCCCCTGGCTGCGCTGTCCTCTGGGAGAGAGGCAGAATGTCCTTTGTCCATGATAAAAACCCTGGCTCCCTTAAGTAAAATGAAATCATGGTTACAAAGTACCAAGCACAGCAATGTTCGATATATGGCCATTTCCTCTTCCCGGAAATTATTAGGCATTAAACTGAATGGCTCCAATTGTCTTTGGAAGTAACTCACGGGACTTGCCAAGCGCTTTCCAAACCAACATGCTCAAACTCTGATCGGCCGTTTGCAGTCGGGTGGAGATATACTCATTCCGCCCACACCGAGTGTGGCCCATGGTGCCAGGTCAAGAGCTGAAAAGACCCTGAGCCTGAGCTCAAGGAGCCAGTGGTCTAGCGGGGGAGGCGGCTGGGCAGAGTCCTCACGTGGTGCCCTGCAGAGGGCAGCCCCGATCCCACCGGCACACTGAGCTGGGCGTCACTGCCGCTCTGCCTTCTCAGCTGTGTGGCCTGAGGCAAGTTGCTAGACCCCTCTGAGCCTCAGTGTTCTTACCTATTAAGTGGAGCTATTAAGACCCATCTCACAGGGTCACTGGTGGGATTCAATGGATTAATAGTACAAGATGTCTCAGTATCTGGCGCACAGCAGCGGCTTACCAACTGTTCTTGGGACTCTACCCTGGGGAAGAAGGGTTAGCAAGGACCTGCGTGTCTGCTCAGCAACAGACCTCCTGGGCACAGGCCCTCGTCAGCCTGCTCAGGGGACAGAAGTCCTCCACCCTGACTAGCGTGTGTCACGTTCATCTCCTTTTGAAGGGACTGAGGAAGGAGCCAATGGCAGGAAGAAGTGCCTAGTGTGGGCCTTAGGGGGGCAGCCTGGTACGGTGGGTTGTGATTCTCTTCCAAGCCTGTATGCAAATCCTGCTCAACCTCACACACCCTGAGCACAGTCCTCAGTTTCCCCATCTGGAAAATGGAGCTAGCAATAACCACCTCATAGAGTTATGTCAAGAAAGAATGCACGTAGGGACGCCTGGGTGGCTCAGTTGGTTAAGCATCTGCCTTCAGCTCGGGTCAGAATCCCAGGGTCCTGGGATGGAGCCCCATGTCGGGCTCCCTGCTCAACGGGGAGCCTGCTTCTCCCTCTCCCTCTGCAGCTTCCCCTCCTTGTGCTTCCTCACCTTCCCTCACTCTCTCTCTCTCTCTCCCTGTCAAATAAATAAATAAAATCTCAAAAAAAAAAAAAGAATGCATGTAAAATTTCGGAAACACGGAAGATTCTCGATAAATGGGAGTGGGGGGGGGAGATGGTGGGGATGTGTCGGTGGGCAATATGATGACAGTGGGGATGGTGGCGGTGATGATACAGGGACAGTGATCATGTCTTCCCCTCATTCAGGTGCCCCCGGAGGTAGCCCAAGGCTGGTGTAAAGAGAAGGATATTCCCTACTTTGAAGTCAGTGCCAAGAATAACATCAATGTGGTACAAGCCTTCGAGATGCTGGCCAGTCGCGCTCTGTCCAGGGTGAGTGGCTATGGTGGCAACACCTCCAGGGCTGCCCCCAAGGATGGGAAACTCAGGAGCTTCCAGAGAACACACCGGGCGCAGGTAGGGCTGTGGGTAGGACAAGATTGCCCATCGTCTTCCTTAGTTCCGGAATGGGCCCAGCAGTACTCTGATTCTGGGCCCCAGAAGGCCAGAAGTATAAAGCTCCCTTAGAGGGTAGAGTCGGTGGCCCCTCAGTCGGGCTGATTATCATCTATGGAGTTTCTAAAACGTACGGTTCTGCACCTCACCCCTGGACATTCTAATGCAGTAAGGGTTTGAGAAATGATGATCTAGTTCAATCCTGGCTGGTGGCAGAGACGCTCCACAGAGCCATGCATCTGTCCAAGTGGAAGATCAAAGCTGCAGGAGTTGCTGACATCCTCCATTCAAACAGCCGGATAGCTGTGGACCCTGTGTTGAGTGTATCATCTGTGCGGGGCAGAGTGCAAGGCTCGGGGCCCCTTGCTCTCTGGAGGCAGTCTGATAGGCCCACGTGTGGTCACAGTACAGGTGTGTGCTGGGGAAGCATTTGGCGGGGGACCTCAGAGGAGGGGCACACAGCCCAACTGTGCGGGAGGAGGGGGGAGGACAGGAAGATCAGGGAAGGCTGCCTGGAAGGGGTAGCAGCGTTTTCATCCCCTCCAATATGGAGTCTGGAAACTCAGAAGAGGGTTCATGAGTGATCAGCACAGGGAAGGAATCAACTTGTCTCATCATTCTGCCACATTTAATCAGGGTGGGCTTCTCAGAAGAGGGGAGAAGCTCATGGCAGCAATGATTTTGAATTGAGGAAAGGAGCACGGGAGATTGGGGGTTTCCCCTCTGTGGAGGTGCCTGCCATTGTTGTGGGGGTGCCTGGCCCCATGCTGCCCGTGGCCCTGGGGAGAATGTTCCTTGGCCCTGCCTGTGGGCGTCCACCAGGGAGAGAGCCGGCAACCACCTCCAAGGGGCCGCCCGCCCGGGGAGAGGCCCCAAGCGTGCCATGCAGACCTCTCAGAGCCTTTGTTTCAGGGTTTGCCCCCTCCAGGCTGTTTTTATGCTTCCTCCCCAGCCCCCAGCCCTCGCTGCCTCGGGTTAAAGGGAAACTGGGGGTGCCCGTCTCTAGCGCATGATCAAGAGGTGTGGTTTTATGACACCATCTGCAACGTTGGCTCTGAAGCCCCAGATGAGCCTGCTCACGCCATTGCCCTGGAAAGCAGAGGAACGTTGTTTGACCTTGTATGGTGGTCTGTGATAAATGATCCTCCACAAACACGGGGCAGTGATTTGCCAGATGATGAGTCACAAGGAAGCTCCCTCAGTCCACAGCCCGTTTGTGTGTGGTCAGCATCTGCCCTCTCTGAAAAAGGAGTGCCCTTTATTCTTAAAGTTACCTCTTTCCTGCTGTGTCAACTTTCTGGAGCTCTCTACTGGTTCTGTTGTGGTGGTCGTGGTTGTAGTTGCTGTTTTAATACCCCACTTGTTAAAGGAATGGCTTAGCAAGCCCAGGTCAGTCCCTCGTGTCGACGGCGGAAATTTACCGATGAGAAGTCTGGAAGTCACAAGTATGGCGTCCACAGTCCTGCTGACCTGCATTCGAATCCTGCCCTGGTGCTTTCAAGGAGACCCATGGGCAAGTCATTATGACTCCTCTGAGCCGCCGTTTCCTCATCTGTAAAGTGGAAATAACGCAATCCCAGAAACACTTATTGAGTTCTCAGGCTAGGGCTGGAGCTCCGGACCTCGGTGGCTCTCAGGTCAGGTGGAGGAGTAAGACATTCACAAACAGGCTGTCGTAGACGTAAGTGCCCCAGAGGGAGCAAGGTCAAGGCACAGAGATGACTCAGTGGTGGCTGGTGGAGAGGGTGGGTGAGGATGTTACCCAGAGAAGTGGCATGTGACTTGGGTGTTGAAAAACGATACACAGATTGCAAGTGGACACGGGAGGGGGGAAGGGAGGGCAGGGGAATGACAGAGCGAAGGGCATGGCCAGAGGCCCAGGCACCAATCTGCAGGGCCCACGTGAGGAACCAACTGTGGGTCCGTCTGTAGAAGGAAACGTGGCATGAAGGGAAGTGGGGTATGGGGCAAGCGAGGAAGCCCACAAGGTCAAAAGCACAGATCATGAAGGCCTGGAGAGCCCCAACCAGGACTCGGATTTCACGCCGCAGGTGCACACTGTCCAGACGTCGCCGCTGGACCCGAGGCATATGGGGGCTCACCCGGTACCTTGAAACCCCACCGGACATGTCCTTTACTCAGAAACTTGAAGGAGAAATATTTTCACATTAAAACAAAGCAAACAAACTACCAGAGCATAGAATGTAAAATTCACGTGGATGTTTACGGTGAACCTGGATGTTGCACATCTCTAGTTTAAGGTCAAACACATTTTCAAAGACATTTTCTACAAAAGCTTTCCCCCTCCTTCCCAGGGAGGTAGTTGGGAGTGTTTGAGAGGGAGATGTGAGGGGTGGGCAGGGGAGGGAAGCCCCACACTGGGGCTCCAAAGCCCAGGACATCTGACATTAAGTCCTGGCTCTTCCTCTTACTGTATGTCCTACAGCAAGTCATGCAGCCTCCCTCAGCCACCACTTGCCTCTCTTTAAGTACCAATAAGAACAATGGGGCTGTTGCAAGGGCCAAAGAAAGCAATTCATTGTACAAGAAGGCATTAAACAAAAGGTAGCTGCTTTAAAACAGGAGCTGTGTATAAGGGTTTCTGGCAGGGGTGTTTCCTGCTTCATGGAGGATGGGCCCCATGGGTGGATGAGAAGGTACCGCAGCAGTCCAGGCATGACAGAATGAAGATGGCAGGACAGGGTGGACTCAACAGACGTTGGAGGGAGAGCCTCAGGGGTTGATGATGGTCGAATATAGGAGAGAAGGAACCAGGAGTTATTTAGGTCAATGACCAGGTTCCCAGCTTGGCTATCGGGGGCATGATTGAATAGAATGCTAGGGACCAAGCTAGGAGAGCAGGAACATCACAAGAGGAGAGGGTGATGCGGTCCATTGGGGCACATGACACTCGTAGTCCCTCGAAACATCTGAGTTCTGCAGTGAACTCTGGTTGGAAAGAGTGGTTTTTGAGTCCAGCACCAGAATAGGTCCTCAGCTAACATGTTGAAAGAAAAGATAGTAGGTAGTTACTTTAGTATCCCAATCCGGCCACTTTCAAGGAGGAGAGTACTTAGTTATTCCAAAATATGATTAAGAATGCCCTCATGATCCAAGAAGGGACACCACCTGCTTCAGGGGTTCTGGGATGATGAGATTTTGCTCAGCAAAATCCAGTTGGCACTCCATCCCTGCTGGGACCAGTCAGGCCTGGTCCCTGTGGAGTGAACGGCAGCTTGGAGGCCCAGTTCCTTCGAAGCTAACGAGACAAAGACATAGTTGCCATGTCCAGGAGGGAAGCAGGCTGGCTGTCTAGCAGGTAAGCATGTTGAAATGATAGGACTTTTTTGAGGTCCACCAGCTGCAAGATCTAAAAGCACCACAGAGGTGACCAGGCTTGAAAGGACAGACTGCAACAGTCAGTCACATCCCTTAGGTGCATCAGGTGCATGCGGGAGGACACTACTATGCGAATTTACAGCTAGATGCACACATCACCTAGAGGACCGGGGCCTGGAGGAAAGAATTACACAGGAGACCTAACTGTGGCCTGCCGGTTACTCGAAAGTTTTGTGGGAAATCTGAGGAGCCAGATGATGCCATGACGGGCCAAAATGGTGTCACAAATGGGAAGCACTCTGGTAACACGGACCCGTAGAGGTGTGACTATTATTGGGTGTAAGAAAGCTGGTGTGAAGACCTCGGGCTTTGCCAGTGTCATGAGCGAGGAAGTTTCTCACACCTTCCAGAGGCAGCGTTCCATTTGAATCTAGAAATGCGAAGGAGCTCAGAAAGCTCCGCCGCTCCTCTGGGCACTCCCACTCTCCTTCCCCGGAGGCTGGCGTTGCGGACGATGGCACGGGTTTCTGGTCATGAGGGGCTCTGGGGTCCCAGCAGGGCCTTGGGTGGACGTGAGGGTGGGGCGTACTCGAGGGTGATGAACCGACAGGCCCTGCCTCCTGGGTCCAAAGATCCAATTAGGAAAGTTCCAGATCCCAGTCAAGGTCTCTGGCTTTCATGATGAGGGAGGGACGCAGAAAATACCAGACAGTAAGAGAATCCTTCCAAAACCTTCCCCTCAGGCGGAGATGGCTCCCTCGGTGTAGAGAGGGGCTTAGCCGGGGACGCTCTGCTCTCCCTCGGCCCTCGCTGGGAGGTTCAGAAATGTCAGGATTGTAACTACGTTCGCTCGGCGGTGTGAGAGGGCCCCGCACCCAGCAGAAGGGGCCAGCAGAAGGACCGGACACACCCGGAGCGGCAGAGCCTGGGGCCCGCACACCAGGCTGGACGGTGCTGGCAAGAAGGAGCCGCTCGGCCCCATTTTCTCTTCTCAGACACGTCGGGTGGGATTCTGCTCTGTCAGGGTGAGAGCTAGGGAAGCCCTGGGGTGTCCTGGGTCAAGTGTGTAAGCAGTGGGGGATCCTCCCCAGCAAAGGGGGAGATCAATCTGGGGTGTGGGCACATCTCCAGAGAGACAGACCTTCTGCAGAGCCTACACTGCCCTCAGCCCCCAGCACTAAGCCTTCCTGTTAAAATTACTATTATATAAATTCTAATAACTCTAAATAACCTGTCTAGGGATCCTCAAGGCCCATCACGCAGGCCAACTAAGGCCCGCGAGACCCTATGTGGGAGGGCTGAGAAACAAGGGCTCTCAAGAAACAAACTATTTGGAAAAAGGGCTGGATCCCGGCCCAGCACCATGAGCTCCACACGTCAGCCCAAATGACCACTCAGTCTGGGGGTGACAGTGAGTCATGGGTCTCAGGAGCCAACATCATCAGGGTGCAGCAGGCGAGCCCTGACACCACCTCCTGGGAGCCAGGGCCACAGCATTAGGGCCGTGACATTCACCAGTGGAAACGGGTGCTGCTCGGGGCCACACCAAGGTGGTGAGAGGCACTCACCCGCCGAGTGAGTGCACACCCACCAGCTCGCACACTCACCCACGCAATGCCAGCTGTGGGGGGCATGGACACCTGAGCCTGGTGACTGGTGAGAGCCTGGCAGAGTAGAGAGATGAGGTCCCTTTAAGAAGAGACCCTTTCGCCTGGGAATCCATCTCCTGGAGGAAGGGCCTCCTTGCCCCACCCCACCCTCGCCCCTGAGCCAAGCGGGGAGGGTTCTGGGAGAGAAGTGGCCAGCTGGGTGGGGAGAGGCTTTCTCCGGACATCGCTGGGACCCAAGCGTTTGGGGAGGTGGGCAGAGAAGCAAATAGGGCCTGGCGGAAACGCTGAGTCTATTTTAGGGAGAATAGAGGCCATGGGAAGGGCAGAGGGTTGACGGGGCTTCTCCAGGTGCCCGGGCAGCGGTGAGGGGAGGCTGGGAGGTGGACGTGGTGAGAGAAGGTTGGGGTGGGGGGGTGTTTGTGGGGAGAGGTCTCCAGCAGAAAGGAGGAGTGGGCTGTCATCATCTCTGCCTGAGGTCAGATGTCAGCTCAGTTACTCCCTCTGGAGAAGGGAGAGTTGTGGGACCTCGTTGGAGGTCAGGAGACTCGTGCTCCGCCGGGGCCTCAGCTTCCTAACAACACAATAGGGAGGGAACAAAAAGCCCAACCACCACCAGCCAGCAAGAGACAGAAGGCAGGTGAGGCTCTTTGCCTCTCAGGATGTGAACTCTGGCTTCTCTTTTCTTTCCCCAGTATCGAAGCATCTTAGAGAATTACCTCACAGACTCCATCAAGCTCTCACCAGAGGACCAGTCCAGGAGTAGATGTTGCTGACCATCTAGACTCCCGCCCCGGTGCTCAGCGAAGCCTGCCTGGGGCCTGGGCATCCCGGCCCCCACCAGCCCCCCACCCGCCCAAGCCCAGCCCCAGCAGCCTGGCCTCTGCGGCCAGAGTCCTCCACCCCCTCGAGTCTGTACTGGGTCCAGATCAGAGTACAGCCCCTGCCTCGGGCTGAGTGCAGTGAGGACACGGCTGGGCCTTAGGTGCCCCAATGGAACCCAGAATGTCACAGCCAAATCTTGGCCCTGGAGGAGGCACAGTTCCCTCACTGGCTCCAGCCTTCCTGCCACCCGCCCTCCCCGAACACACCCCTGCTCTAGAACGCACATCTCTGCAGACGGCCAGGCCACTGTCTCCGGAGTCCTGTTCTACTCTCCTGTGAACTGGCCTTCCTTGTCCATGCCACCACACACCCGCAAAGCCTCAGCACAGCTTTGCAACAGGGCCCAGCTCAGGCTCCCTTGGTCACCAGGGCCAGAAGGTGAAGGCCTGTACCTCACGTGGGCGCCTGCCTCAAACCCTGGCAGCCACGGTTCAGGCCTGGAATATTGCTCTGTCCCCTCCAGGGTATGGGACTGAGAGAGCTCAGGAAAAGGCACCAAGGACTGGCTCATTCCTCTCTGCTGAATGCTCAGACGACTCCTATAAATCTCTCTGAGCCTCGGCTTGCTCGTCGGTCAAATGGGGGTGGTATGTGCCCTGCCCACTTCAGAATATATGATTTTGAGGACCAGAAGCTCTGCTTAAATCTCAGTTGCTGTCTTTGATATGCATTTATTTATTCCTTCAACAAGTGTTGTTGAGTGTCTACTATGTACAATGCACAGAGGTCTAGTGACAAATGAAGTCAACAAGGACCCTGCTCTCCAGGACCCCACATTCTGATAAGGGAGAGAAGCCATAGACACAGAATTGAAACAGATATTCTCAAATAGTAGATAAGCACTTGAACAAAGCAAACAAGGAAATGGGATTGGTGCAGTTTCAGACAAAATGGTCCAGGAGGGCTTCCCTGAGGAGTTGTCATTTGGCCCAAGGACTAGAGAATGAACAGACTACACTAGAGATCTAGACAAAGAGCATTCCAGGGAGAGGAGGCAGCAAGAGCCAAGGCCCTGAGGTGAGGACAAGCTTGCTGTGTTCCAGGAACAGTGAAAGGACATTCATTTACATGAAGACTCAAAGCTGCTGTCCCTGAGACAAGCAAAGGGACCCCGCCCCCCCAGCTGCTCCCTGAGCCTCTGCTGACTGGCCACCAGAGGGCAGCAGTGCTCCTTCCCTTGCAGGCTGAGTGGCCAGCCACAGAGGCGTCACACTTAAACGGGGGTGCTTTTCTCTCTGTTCTGATCCTCAAAACTGGTCCTCAGGCTGTGAGCATGTTTAACCCTGTGAGATCTGTGGGGTAGGAGAATCCCAATTTCTTACGCCTGGCAAGAAATGGGCAAAAACTGAAACATGAATGATTCAGGCAAGAAATCCTCATCAGTGACAAATACTAGAATGAGGGGCCAGGGGACTTCCAGCTCTATTACAAAGCTGTCATCATCAAGACAGTATGGTACTGGCACAAAAACAGACACATAGATCAATGGAACAGATCAGAGAGCCCAGAAATGGACCCTTAACTCTATGGTCAACTAATCTTTGACAAAGCAGGAAAGAATGTCCAATGGAAAAAAGACAGCCTCTTCAACAAATGGTGTTGGGAAAATTAGACAGCCACATGCAGAATTAAACTGGACCATTTCCTTACACCACACACAAAAATAGACTCAAAATGGTTGAAAGACCCAAATGTGAGACAGGAGTCTACCAAAATCCTAAAGGAGAACACAGGCAGCAACCTCTTCGACCTCAGCCACAGCAACTTCTTCCTAGAAACATCGCCAAAGGCAAGGGAAGCAAGGGCAAAAATGAACTATTGGGATTTCATCAAGATAAAAAGCTTTTGCACAGCAAAAGAAACAGTCCACAAAACCAAAAGACAACCGACAGAATGGGAGAACATATTTGCAAATGACATATCAGATAAAGGGCTAGTATCCAAAATCTATAAAGAACTTATTAAACTCAACACCCAAAGAACAAATAATCCAATCAAGAAATGGGCAGAAGACATGAACAGACATTTCTGCAAAGAAGACATCCAAATGGCCAACAGACACATGAAAAAGTGCTCAACATCGCTCGGCATCAGGGAAATCCAAATCAAAACCTCAATGAGATACCACCTCACACCAGTCAGAATGGCTAAAATTAACAAGTCAGGAAACGACAGATGTTGGCGGGGATGTGGAGAAAGGGGAACCCTCCTACACTGTTGGTGGGAATGCAAGCTGGTGCAACCACTCTGGAAAACAGTATGGAGGTTCCTCAAACAGTTGAAAATAGAGCTACCATACGATCCAGCAATTGCACTGCTGGGTATTTACCCCAAAGATACAAATGTAGGGATCCGAAGGGGTATGTGCACCCCGATGTTTATAGCAGCAATGTCCGTGATAGCCAAACTGTGGAAAGAGCCAAGATATCCATCGACAGATGAATGGAGAAAGAAGAGGTGGTATATATATATATATATATATACATATATATATACACACACAATCGAATATTATGCAGCCATCAAAAGGAATGAGATCGTGCCATTTGCAATGACGTGGATGGAACTGGAGGGTGTTATGCTGAGTGAAATAAGTCAATCAGAGAAAGACATGCATCATCTGACCTCACTGATACGAGGAATTCTTAATCTCAGGAAACAAACTGAGGGTTGCTGGAGTGGGGGTGGGGTGGGAGGGATGGGGTGGCTGGGTGATAGACATTGGGGAGGGTATGTGCTATGGTGAGCGCTGTGAATTGTGCAAGACTGTTGAATCACAGATCTGTACCTCTGAAACAAATAATGCAATATATGTTAAGAAAAAAAAAAGAAGAAGAAGATAGCAGGAGGGGAAGAATGAAGGGGGGGAAATCGGAGGGGGAGATGAACCAGGAGAGACGATGGACTCTGAAAAACAAACTGAGGGTTCTAGAGGGGAGGGGGGTGGGGGGATGGGTTAGCCTGGTGATGGGTATTAAAGAGGGCACGTTCTGCCTGGAGCACTGGGTGTTATGCACAAACAACGAATCATGGAACACTCCATCAAAAACTAATGATGTAATGTATGGTGATTAACATAACAGTAAAAAAAATTTATAGAATGAGGGGCCAGGAAAACTCATAGACTTCCTGTCCCTGCAGACTCTTCGGGCAACAGACAGCATAGACAGGGCCCAGCCTGAAGCGGGTGGACAAGATGACCACTCAGAGGTTCCCAGGCCACATCAATGCCCGCCATGGAAGTCGCCTGTCTCCACGGAAGTATTCTGCCCTGAGTTCCCAGCAGAGCTGGGATGTTAGCGTAGGACTTCTGATGTCATCTGACTCTGAAGATAACCCCGGAGGTGGGGAATCCTGGGGGGGGAGGGGTCAGCAGGAAGTTTGGGGAGCCTCGTCTCCCCACCCGGCTGTGGAGTCAGGATTGGCTCATCCCGGGCAGTGGCATGGGTCTGGGAGCAAACCAGCGTCTCTGTGTGCTTCATGGGCTGGCATTCTGCATGCGACACGGGCTCTCCCGGGAGTCCGTCAGGCTGTGGATTGCATGTGTGGCGTTCAGGCGCGCATATACAGCAGCTCGTGCCCCGCAGCGGACATACGAACTGTTTCTAAATGTGCGCCACAAATTATAAATGTGTCCTTCTTTATTAGTCTCCTTTTTGGTGTTTTGTTATTAAGTTTAAAAAACAAACAAGGGGCGCCTGGGTGGTTCAGTCGGTTAGGCGTCTGCCTTCCGCTCAGGTCATGATCCCGGGGTCCTGGGATCAAGCCCCACATCAGGCTCCTTGCTCCACGGGGAGTCTGCCTCTCCCTCTCCCTCCACCTGCCATTCCCCCTGCTTGTGCTCTTTCTCTCTCTCAAATAAAGTTTTAAAAAAATAAAATAAAAAGCAAACAAACATGTTTCCATAGTTCAAAATTCCAAAAGATATTAAAGAGAAGACAACAAAATTTAGGACTGGCTTATATAACAGGCAGGGCTCAGTGTGAAATGAAAATGCTCCACCCCTTGTTCAAAAATGATTAAGAATTTCAAGACGGTGACAACGGATCTTTAAACCAAGCACACCGTCCTCGGACAGCAGGTTACACATACTCGGAGCTGTCCCTGAGGAAGCAGCTCTGTTTTCAGTGCTCTCCAGAGTGATAGAGCCCCTGGCCAGGCCCACCTGGCCTGCAGACACATTACAGCTTGAAGATGAGGGCTCTGTCTTTGCCAGAGCCACGTGGAGCGTCGACCCCAGGCCTAAATACTGGGCATTTTCTCCAGAGTCAGGAGCAGGACAGAAAGTTCTGTCCTGTCACTTTCCATGTGACTCGGTACAGACCCACAGGGGGCAGGTGCCAGCAGAGGGAGGCAGCATGTGGCGGGCTGCCCCTCTGGGCTAAGTGAAACCACTGGAGCCCAGAGTGGGGGGTGGGCAGCACTTCTGGGGGGCCCGTCCATCACCATCCCTTCAGAGAAGAAGACCCCAGTTAATAAGACGGCTCTGACCCAGGCCTCCCCTGTCCCACCACAGCCCTGCTCCAAGGGGCAGCTCCAGGCTGCTAATGACTAACAGGGAGGATCCAGGCCAGACTCTGGGCGGCACACACCACTGGGGCTGGTTGGGGGGTGGGGGAGGAGAACAAATCTTATCACCAAATAAACCTGAGCTGGGCCTGGCTGGGTGCCATGCTGCCCCAGGGGTTTGGTGGAATGCTGACTTTTTCTGCTGTTTGCTCCCACTCGACAGAGGCTCCCTCGCAGCCCTGTCACCAGCCACAGGCCACTCTCAGCAGAGTCAGATGTGTGGCCAGCACCCACCAGGCGGTCTTGTCCCCAGGAACACACAGGCTGGTGGCAGCCATGCCGGCGGCAACACCCAAGCCTCGTAGCCATGCGTGGCAGGCCCCGCTGTGACAGTAGGCTGAGGATAGAGGACCTGCCTGCTGGGTGCACACCTGGAGGCTCCCTCTAGGACGTGCGCTGGTGGGGGGACATGTGTGCCTATAGATCTGCATGGTGTGTGTGTGTGTGTGTGTGTGTGTGTGTGTGTGTGTGTGTGTGCGTGTGTGTGTGTGTGCGTGCATGTGTGTGTGCGTGCGCGTGTGTGTGTGTGTGCGTGCGTGCGTGCGCGTGTGTGTGTGCGTGCGTGTGTGCGTGCATGTGTGTGTGTGCGTGTGTGTGTGTGTGTGTGTGTGTAGGAGGGGCTGTGGGGAGGGGAGGGGTAGGGACTGAGAGAGCCAGACCGTGGGTTTCCCTCATTGAAGTACAGAAAAATTCTAAAGAAGCTCCTAAGATTGGACAAAAGCAGGAAACTAGGTGCAGGAGTGAAGGGTGAGGGATGGACCAGTTACTGTGGAGCGCCTTCCTTGTGTCAGTGAGGCCCCAGAACAGCCCACGGAGGAGGGGTTAGCCTCAGGCCCCGAGGAGACGGCTGAGGTTCCCTCCAGCCTTGCCCGCACAGCCCACCAAGGCCTGGCAATACCACCTCCTCACTCTCTTGGAAGCCATTCCCTTCCCCCCTCCGCTCTGCTCCACCTGGTCCAGGCGGCTGGCGCGTCCTGCCTAGACCACCCTCGGCCCTCTCCGTGGGGCTCCTGCCAGGCCTCTTGTTCCTCTCCATACACTCCACACACCAGCCCTCCCCGCGG